GAGTGGGACAAAATCCCTCCTGAGATGTGTGCAAACCTGGTGGCCAACTACAAGAAACGTCTGACCTCTGTGATTGCCAACAAGGGTTTTGCCACCAAGTACTAAGTAATGTTTTGCAGAGGGGTCAAATACTTATTTCCCTCATTAAAATGCAAATCAATTTATAACATTTTTGACATGCGTTTTTCATGATTTTGTTGTTGTTATTCTTTATCTCACTGTTCAAATGCTGATCATGTCTTTATCAGTGGGCAAACATACAAAATCAGCAGGGGATCAAATACTTTTTTCCCTCACTGTATGTACCCATTGATTCTTGGAAGAATATCACTTCCCACTGGACACAGACGTCAAATCAACGTCTATTCCACGTTGGTTCAACATAATTTATTTGAAATGACGTGGGGCGCAGTGGTCTAAGGCACTGCATCGCAGTGCTAGCTGTGCCACTAGAGATCCTGGTTCGAATCCAGGCTCTGTCATAGCCGTCCGCGACCGGGAGACCCATGGGGCGGCGCACAATTGGCCCAGCGTCGTCCAGGGTAGGGGAGGGAATGGCCGGCAGGGATGTAGCTCAGTTGGTAGAGCATGGCGTTTGCAACGCCAGGGTTGTGGGTTCGATTCCCACGGGGGGCCAGTATAAAAAATAATGTATGCACTCACTAACTGTAAGTCGCTCTGGATAAGAGCGTCTGCTAAATGACTAAAATGTAAAATGTAAAAATGTAACCAATTTGTGCCCAGTGGGTTATAAATTCCTCATGAGCTTAGTTCAACTGTCGTACCCCATCAGAACCCAAAATATAAACTTGTTTCACTCCAATGTTTATAAACAAAGTAAATGTACACTGTATAGCCTCAAAACATGATTCAAACTATAATTGTGATATCATGGATGGTCAGTCCTTGCATCCATAGCTCTGTCTATGAATTTGAATGGTTACATTTCTCTAGCCCCATCCCTAAGCCTTTTACGCGGAGTACGCTTTGTTATTGTTTCAACTGCTGATTGCTGCTTTAAGAGAAGAGTTAAAAAATGACAAAGAAATGATCAACACCTAACATCTCTCCAGTTACCTTTAACAACATTTATTACAGTCAGCATAGGAAAATATATTCACATTAGTCATTGGCATCATTTGTTTAGCTGTGTTTTTTTAAAGGAAACATAGATGTAAATGTCACAAAATCACTGAGACGATTTACAAAAAAACGAATCGGAAACAATTTCAAACAAGGGCATTCAGAGTCGCACGTATACAATGACTAACATGTAAGGTGTGATACTTAATTATCAAATCAGGATTCTGTTTTTTATGTGCACACCAATTATAAATTAGTTAATCTTCAGGTATGAATAAAGTGCAAAACACAACCTGGGGGATTATAATGTTAAACTAAAACAGATAGCTTAACACATTTCATTTTTAAACCCCCAGTCAATACATTTTATGTTTTGACATATGTTTCTAAGCTAGGAGAGTAACAGTTTTTTTTTATTGAATCTTAGAACAACAGAATCACTGTCACATAAAACCATGCATGGATAGAGTTCTTTGAACTGGAAGTGTCTTTGAAATTCAAAGACATTCATGTTAAAACTGTACTTCAAATTACCTGTACAATGAATGAAACTTCACTGACTCATATCAACAAAAGCACATATGATAAAATGTTTTCATAGATTTGATAAAACAACAATAATAACAAAATGACTAATTTGCAATGTTTTTATTTGCATGAACTCAAACAAACCGCAAAGCAAAGCTATGAAGCTACTTAACCACTACATAGCTAGCCGAGCTAGTTTAGAGGGTTACCACCATCAACAGAGCATCTGCAAAGCTTGACCGTGGTCGGTCATGATATGGTTTAACCGCCAGTTAAGGTCAAGGCACTACTACCCGTATCCCGATCCTTATCTTTGATTCTCTGACCCGTTTCTTTTGAGCACCGTGGCTCCACAGTGAAAGTTCTCCCACTCACTCATTCACTTACTGCAACACTCAATTGACTGCACACTAAAAGACATATACTTATTTATGGAAGAGGTTACCCATGTGTGTCTCCTGGGCCTACAGTTAATCTGTAGTCTTCATTCAAACCTACCTCTTTTACTGATATTAACTTGATCTGTCAATTAACTAATACAACTCGGAGATCATTGCTAGCTCATAGTCCAATGTCATGAATGAGGATAAGGTGAGTTACTATAACTATGCACATGTAATTACACAATTAACAGACCAATAGAATATACTAGATCAGGGGCGGCAAACCCTCCTCACAACGAGCTACAAAGTGTGCAGGATTTCGTTCTAGCTCTGCTTTAACACAACTGATTTAGCTAATAATGAGCAGCTGATTAGTAAAATAGAATCAGGTGTGTAAGAACAGGGCCTGCCCACAAGAAGGTTGGCCACATGTATGTCTATGGCTGGTCACCCATGTACTACATACTGGCTGGAGAGAAACTCTATGAACAGGGTTTGAAGACAGACATAGGGAATCCCTGTTTTCCCGGGAAATAGCGTAGTGTGTAGACAACCTTGAGTCATCACCATTACAGCACCAAATGTATGCACCATGAATTTACATCCAGATTGTGTCTTTATAAGCCCATAGTTTACAGAAGGACAATAACATGGCATAGACTAATAATAAAGTATAATTCCGTAGTGCTTATTCTCAATTCAGTCAAATTTGACCATCAACTCCATTGAAAAATAAAGCTAACATTGCTTGTTCCAAAACGACCTCAAGCATAAAAAGCATGTTTTTAGTCATTGTTTAATTAAACAATAAAGCCCGAGGCGGTGTGGTATATGGCCAATATACCACGACTAAAGGCTGTTCTTAGTCACGACGCAACGGGAAGTGCCTGGATACAGCCCTTAGCCGTGGTATATTGGCTATATACCACAAACCCCCGAGGTGCCTTATTGCGATTATAAAATGGTTATCAACGTAATTAGAAGAGTAAAAATAAATGTTTTGTCATACCCATGGTATACGGTCTGATACACCACAGCTTTCAGCCAATCAGCATTCAGGGCTCGAACCACCCAGTTTATAATTCCTAGTAACCACTACTATTATCAGTTATAACTAACAGGCTCTTAACCTTTTTGCTTTCTTCATATCAGTGCAAATATTCTTGTCATCTGTTTCAATTTAATTCCAAAAGGGCTAAGGCTGGAGATTACAAATTGAAATCTCCCCTTGTCAAAGGATGGAAGGCATAAAAAAAAACACAAAACCAGCCTATTTAAGGTTGATCATACATTGGATGAAATGTTGGGTTTGGATAGAAGGGTATCAGTATCTTACATTATCATGTACTGCTATGAAATGCACCAAATATGTATGCACCCCTAGATAAAGCCAGAGGTTGAAAGTTTGGCAATGGTGGCTAAGCAATAGTTGTTTCTGCCAGACAGTTTGAAATTGTGAAAATTATATCATAGTCCTAAAGTGTATAAATAAGGTACAGCTTGGCAACCTACATTAGCATTAGCTTAGCATCAGGCTAAATCATTTACTAAATCAGTAATATAAATCAGCTAATATTCCATGAAGTCTCTTTGCCGCGCTCAAGGTTTTACACTAGGCTCGCAGGTTTGTGCTTTGATGCTTTCGCCTGAGGTGCTTTAAATTCAAAATACAAAGGCATGCCTAAACGACTGTTTGTCATAGTCTAGCCTATTTGGTGTCTATAATGTTTTGTCATCTACGCTAAGTCGCTAACAGGAAGTGCTGTAATATTGGAATTACGCCCAGGTAAGTGCTCTCTTTGCGTCACACTCCAGTTTAGGGGGTTAGGGGAAGGGGGGCAAACTCACAATCTTGTCACACAATTTTTTAGAACAGACCCAGTTCCGATGCTTGCCAGGGGCATCATTTAAATGTAGCTCCACCAGCAGTGAGTCATGCCTTCTCCTTTCTTAAGGCGTCAGCATGCTTCAGTTCAGCTGGCGCCTAGCCAAACCGAAAGAGTGTGCTTGTATACTCCCTTAAAATACCTTTGCCTGAGACGCCGTAGCCAGTATACACTTCCTCAAAATAGACAGAATTAATCAAAGATAACTCAAGAAATCTGTCATTAGTTTTGACGTTTTGCCGAGGAGATCTTAGTCGCGCAATTTTACATCTAACTAAGATGTTTGGTGCAGTATTTCTCAATTAAATAATGTGTATGAAAACGAGTCGTCTCTCGTTAAATGACAACAAATACTTTATTGAAAAATCCCGACTGTTGACCAATCACTGACAAAGGGCTGTGGACTTCGGTAACCGACTTCCGCTTGCCTCTAGAAATGTCTTAGTGTGACCGAACAGCCGAAAAAAACCTTACCGAAGTCCAAAATGAACAAAAAACGTCACAAAATGCCATCATAAAATATGCACAAACTCTTCCGAACTGTTTCGTCTGGAAAGCATGCGGACGCCTTTACTCTGGAAGTCTATTTGAAAGCACAACTACAAACATCAACATAACACAACCAAAGATATAAAAAGGAACGCTTTGAGGGGAGTTCCTCTCAGGGAGAGTAGCACTTAGAACCTCGTATGGTCCGAACCCGTAAATACCCCCTCCTCATCATCAGAACTACAAGAAATCCGATCTCAGGAGTACGGAGCCGCCTTTATCTATCGCTTCGCTCACAATTACAAAGAAAAACATGCAGTTAGCGTCACAGCAAAGAGTTATCAATGGCTCTTTTTACATTGTCAATTGCAAGGGCTAATGGAAGGTCAACATGGGTTAGTAGTGGTTTGGCTTCATCGATCCTTCTTGGCTCTCTGCGCCGCCAATCTCGGATTTCCACCAATCGGTAAGATGGGAGAGGGACTGTGTGGAGCAAGATGAAGCTTGCTACCTGGAAGAAGATGAATGGGGGATTGGGGGTGGTTATCCTCACCCTGAGGATAGTATAAAGTCGCTTAGTGCTCCCTAGTCTCAGTGACAAGGAGGGTGAGGCTCGGGACTGGGAGGGCTAGGGTCTTTCAACCTTAGAGCTGTCATCGGGCGCGGGGTGGCCCTCCGAGCTACCCTGGGCGGTGGGGGTCGGCAGATCGTCCGAAGGCTCCATGGGGGTGAGGGTGATCTCCACCTCACCTCGACCCTCCAGCAAAGTGGGCAGGGGCAGGCGGTGGTGGGGGGTAGACTGGGAGTTGTTGTTGTTCTTGGTGGTGGGTGGTCTCGGGGCCCTCTGGATGACCTCTACCATGGCCCTGCTCATGTCCCAGTTTGCGTGGCTGGTCCCTGGCAGCAGCAGCAGGGGCCGTGGTTCAGACTCGAGCACCACGCCCCGGTGCTCTGGGTCGCCAGTGTCCGCTACCGAATGCACGGCCTGCTGGTCCTGGAACACGACCTCCACCACCTGGGAGGAGGAGGAGGAAGAGCAAGCTTTCTGGATCACCCCTCCGGTGAGGGACTTCATGATAGGGGCTTGGTTGACCGAGGGTAGGGGCGGAGGGGGCGGTTGCGGTTGCGGAGGGGCGGTGTCCTCTGGCCGTGGCTTCCTGGGTCGTCCTCGTTTCCGTTTGGCCGGCGTGCCTCCCAGCCTGGGGCCCCCGCTGGCTGCAGCCGGAGCCTCGAGGGCCCGTTTGGTCACGGCACGGGCCCTCTGCACCACAGATGTTGGTGCCACAGGCGCCATGGTAACCGGCGGGGCTTTTTCCCTATCGGGGTAGGATAGGCTGACGCTCTGGGGGAGGATCATGACGGGGAGAGCGCCCCCTTGCTGCTGGGGCAGGGCAGTCATGGTGATGACCTTTACGCCGCCTGCGTCTTTGGGTGCCAGCGAAGGGGGCGAGGAGCGCACCGAAAGCTGGGACTTTTCCGGGACAGAGCTGCGAGGCAGGATTCGGGGCAGGTGCTTCATCAGAGCCTCCACCTGCAGGTCACGACCCCCCGGGCGTACTGACTCCGCCCCTTTGGTTGGCTTGTCACTGGACTGCAGTTTCCCTGGTGACAACTGATCCCCAACTTCTTTATCCCTCTGAGAGAAACAACATTGTGTTACCTAAAGTCTATATGAGTAGATATGGCTCATTATTACTACTATTATTACAACTTCGAGAAGTATGTTTATGTACTTTGCATTTAGTCTTTGAAAGGGTATTGTTGATGCGCTACCTTAGCTTCAGAGCTGCTCCCTTCCGTCTCCGGCCCACCTCCTTTTGATGGTACTGGGTTCTTCTTGATCACCTTGTGGGGCTTTGCAGGACCTCCTGTGAGACACAGAGAAAAATGACAGATGGTTACAAGAAATTCCAACCATAAGATGGTTGCAGATGGTATTGGAGATGACTGAACACAGTGTGATGGAGATGAGGACACTGAGACTCACCTGTCATCACGGCAGAAGTGACGAGTTCAGCCTGGCTGCAGCGCGGGTTGACGATGTGCTCCTGCACAAGAAAACGGGCGATCTCGACCACTGTGTCAAAGGAACGCTTGAGGATCTTCTGGGCCCAATCACAGATGAGCTCACAAGCCGCCTCCGTCACCTCTTGCTTGTAGGTCTGCACCAGCTCCGTCAGCTCCGACTTCATGGAAGAAGAGTCTTAATCACCATTGACAGTCATTTTTGCACTTAACTATAGCAAAAGCAATAGTTATGTCCTATCATATAACCAGGAAGTGCAGTTGGCTAGTCATACATACTGGGTCGTTTTTCAGGTCCAGGTTTGGCAACAGTGGCATGTTTAGCACCGTCTTCCTGCGGATTCCACTATAACAATACGTGTCAGCGAAGGAGTTAAGGATGAACTGTAAACAGAAAGGGGAACCTCACCCTCTCCACTTATCAATAGGTTATGGTAATACTTGTTTGATCCTTTGTACTCGGTGGCATCATTCTATCCACATTTCCCACATTGTTCAACAATATAAAAATAGGATGCAAATAAGATGCATTGAAGTATAGGTGAATCCCTGAATGCTTGAATACTAAATTTGCAGGTGTCAATGCAGTTGCGGCAAGTTAAAGTAAAATTGTGTTCAAATACTTAAAGGGCCTCCCAAAACAACCTCCTGACAGACTGAAAGGATATTTGGACTGTCCCCTGCCACCGAGCCTCCGGGCTTTGATGTTGGGGAAGATGTCACGGATGATCTTCCCAAAGTTGGCAGCACTCAGAGGCCGGTGCTGCAGGTTTTCACAGTATCTCCTGGGGGATTAGGGGGCAAGAGATCATAACATTAGCTGGGTCGTTTTCATTAGGGCACACCGTAGCAAAGCGAAAATAGTATTTCTTATTGATGTCCAGGTATTCCGGGTTCACAAGTACATTTCTAATTCACTGTTACAGCTGTGCCTCATTACAATAACTTACTTGTATGTCTCGTAGACGTCTTGCTTTGGCAGGCAGGTGTCTGCGTGTTCCTCCAGGTGGCTGCGGATCCAGTTGCAGGTGTGCAGCTGGTCAGCTGTGTTGAAGGAACTGGGGTCACTGCTGCTGCTGCTCAGGACAAACGCAACATGCAACAATTTCAAAGATTTTACTGAGTTACAGTTCATATAAGGAAATCAGTCAATTTAAATAAATTCATTAGGCCCTAATTTATGGATTTCACATGACTGGGAATACAGACATGCATCGGTTGGTCACAGATACCTTCAAAAAAAAGGTAGGGGCGTGGATCAGTCAGTATCTGATGTGACCACATTTGCCTCGTGCAGCGCGACACATCTCCTTTACATAGAGTTAATCAGGCTGTTGATTGTGGCCTGTGGAATGTTGTCCCACTCCTCTTCAATGCCTGTGAGAAGTTGCTGGATATTGGCGGGAACTGGAACACGCTGTCGTACACGTCGATCCAGAGCATCCTGAACATGCTCAGTGGGTGACATGTCTGGTGAGTATGCAGGCCATGGAAGAACTGGAACATCTTTAGCTTCCAGGAATTGTGTACAGATCCTTGCGACATTGGGCCGTGCATTATCATGGTGAAACATGAGGTGATAGCGGCGGATGAATGGCACGACAATGGGCCTCAGTATCTCGTCATGGTATCTCTGTGCATTCAAATTGTCATCGATAAAATGCAATTGTGTTCGTTGTCCGTAGATTATGCCTGCCCATACCATAACCCCACCGCCACCACGGGCACTCTGTTCACAATGTTGACATCAGCAAACCTTTCGCCCACACAACGCCATATACGCTGTCTGCCATCTGCCCGTGAAGAGCACACTTCTCCAGCGTGCCAGTGGCCATCAAAGGTGAGCATTTGCCCACTGAAGTCGGTTACGACACCGAACAGCAGTCAGGTCAAGAACCTGGTAAGGACGACGAGCACGCAGATGAGCTTCCCTGAGATGGTTTCTGACAGTTTGTTCAGATATTCTTCAGTTGTGCAAACCCACAGTTTTATCAGCTGTCCGGGTTGCTGGTCTCAGACAAGGTCCTGGGCTGGCATGATTACACGTGGTCTGCAGTTGTGATGCCGGTTGGACGTACTGCCAAATTCTCTAAAATGCTGTTGGAGGCGGCTTATGGTCTCTGGCAACAGCTCTGGTGGACATCCCTGCAGTCAGCATGCCAATTGCACGCTCCCTCAAAACCTGAGACATCTGTGGCATTGTGGGATCTTTTATTTCAGCTCATGAAACATGGGACCAACACTTTACATGTCGCGTTTATATTTTTGTTCAGTGTAGTTAAGGCAGTGAACATATATATATTTTTAAGAAGATATGCACATCCCAAACCTCTCAACTGGTGCTGAGCCCCAACAATGAAAACAAATAATAATATGAAAAGCCAGCACACGGTTCATGTTGCTTCTGTTTTATTCCTGCTCAAACATACAATGTGGCACTGGCAATAACAAACAATGTGCACTCACATTTTGGCAAGCACCAAAATAACAATCACACAATTTCAATCATTGTGTTAGAACTATTTTTAACCGATTTATAAACTATAAACTAAATAATTAAGAGTTTATAAACTACTTATAGCAGCATTTATAAATATTTTTAAGTGTTACTGGGGAAGAAGTCAATATGTGACTGGGTCACTGGTTGTCAAACAGATGTAGTACATCTCTGACCTTTGTTGAGCTTTGTATGCTCCTTGAGGTTCTGTGTGTACATGTTGACAATAACACCCTTGAAAACGTGGACCTCTTCCCTTACCTTGGCAGTGTTCTCTCCTCCAAAGCTGACATCGATGCAGAAATACACCACCGCCTAAGTTGTGCCAGTGGGGCCATTGCCAGACTGAGAAAAATAGTTTGGGGAATTTGGAGATGTGTGCATGGTCGAGACACATAGATCTGCATGGTCTGCTGAAATCTGTTGATCTGCGCAGACCTGTGCAGAATCTCTGCATCTCAAAAGCACACATTTACACCCAGATCAAAACTCCTTCTCTACAAACCTTAAACCACCAGTAGGTAGGTACAGTAGTAGGTAGGTACAGTATACCCCCTCTGGGTGGACCACTGCTTCAATGCTTGCTTGCATGACACCTAATGCATATCTAACGGACTGAATGGAAATAAAACAAATAGAGGAAGGCCATCCACGGTGGGGCTGCACAACATGAAAAAGACCTCAGCCATGCCACTGAGGACAAGTGGCAACAATGAAAGGAGAGGCTAAACATCAACCACTATCAACCACTACCACCACATACCTCTTCAGTGGGATTTGTGGGTCACAATTCAGCCTCTTCAGTCATCTGAAGAGCTACAAATATGTCCCACCAGGAGGACAATCATACAGTGCCAGACCCAGAATGATTGCTGATGATAATGATGCTCACCTTTTCTCCCCTGAACTGGGGCCAGAAGGCAGCTGGAGGTAAAGGTAGAGTTTGTCGTTGTCAGAGAAGCGCTGCACATCTTGCTGTGGGTAGGCGAGACATAGGAGCAAATCTGGGTCTTAAACCATTCATAGACAAGGCAATTCATACACAATGCAATAGCAAAGATGTATTGGCACTCACCAGGATAACGTCCACTTTGCCCTGTACATTCTTACTGCGAAAAGAAACAACAATTACAGTTAGACACAAACACATTTCTGAAGACTTTCTAATGACACTGATGGATAAGGTGTATGAGATAAATGGCAGGTAATGTTGGAGAGGGTGCTGATACTACACAATACTTGATTGTCCATTTTGATGATTTAAGCAGTGGCTGTGTGGACAGAGGGGTGGGACTTACGAGATGTTGCTCTTTAGTTTCTGCAGCAGTAGGCTAGGCTCTGTGTCTCCCTCTCCTGAGTCCAGCCCCTCCCGCTTGGAGGGGTCCGCCTTCAACCTGTCCTCCGTCATTGTTTGCTCACACAGCGGTGGCAAACGCACCCTGAGGCCTCTGAAATTAGGAGAGGGTAAATGTGATAAAAGTGTTCTAAGCACTGTGGCATTTGGCTGGGGGCTGTCATTTTACATTTTAAAAGTAACTTTTAGTTTTTGTTGAGAATGGAAAATATATCCCTCCACGTCCAATAAAGCTGGTTATTGGACATGCACAATGTTAGTGATTTTTCATCTGATAATCGGCCCAAGAACACAAGAAGAAGCCTTCTTTGTATTCCAATTAAATCAAAATGGAAACTGACAATACCAGCTTTTTAGGAAAGTAACACCTGAGGAACATACCTGACTATGATGATGGTGGTACTGATATGAGTTGTCAGGGGTTGTCAGGGTTCAATTTAGCTGACTAAACTCAATTCCATGGTGAAGGATTTTCTTATAAACTCCACCAACGGAGTGGAGCAGAGACAAGGCTTTGTGGAATTCAGCTCCGACTACATGCCCAAGGTCAATAAAAAATAAAATTAAAAAAAGATTATGCAACTCTTCAATTTACCTATGTGTATCCTCTGTAGTTGTGTGCCTTTCTTTGTTTGCTTTGTTAGGTTCTGACAAACAGTGAAAAACTAACGGACAACCAGTCAAAGCTAAAACCAAGTTTATTCACCCACTGGTTCAAACAGCTGAAAAGACAAAGACATGTTTACACAGGCCCATATATTTATACCCTCTTTTTAGGCAGTCTCCTCCTTGCACATCTGGACAGCCAATACATCTCTGTTGCTAGGCAGGAACTCAAGTGGCGACTGTTCCTTCTCACTTCATCTGACCTGACCTCGGCCCGCATTCCTCACTCCTCTCTAACTCATGGCTATCCTACCTTATCAGTGACTGAAACCAGACTGTTGCCCTTCTCCTCTCCATAGGATACATGAGATTTAACAATAACATGTTCTGACAGAATGTAAACTTTCTGCACTCCTCTTTCTCACTCAGTAGATTTCCATACACCCAGTTCTAATATGGTAACATATTTCAAGTTAGAACCCAACAGCTTAAATCCATACTTTTTCAATAAACTTTAGTCAAATACAACCACCGACTGTTTGTTCATTGCTGTTGCTCTAAGAGGGCTCATGTGCCAATTGAATCTCAACAAGGAAACAGTCAGTGGTTTTTGATTAACGTTTATTGAAAAAGTATGAATTTCAGAAAACAAAGAAAGGCACGCAATTACAGAGGAAAAACATAGGTACAAGGTAAGGGTTTCATAATTTAAATGTTTTGAAGTATTAACCTTGGGCGAATCGATGTAGTCAGAGATGAATTCTACAAAGCCTGTTCTCTGCTCCACTCCGTTGGTGGAGTTCATCAGAAACTTCCTTCACCCTGGGGTTGTCAGCCAGGTTCAATTATAATATTGAATGCAATGCAATGATGTAGGTAGGGTGTCCAATCAAAAACGCATATTCTGACCAATGGGTAAAATAATATGTTAATAGTGTAGATAATGCTCTAAGAAAATGTATGCACTCACTAAACTGTAAGTCGCTCTGGATAAGAGCGTCTGCTAAATGACTAAAAATGTACAATTTTAAAATGTAAAACCAATGGGCCCAAACTTCATGTCTATCATAATCCGTTCAAATGTTATTGGAGTTTTTACCCTTTTAGGATGGCCAGAATTAGGGTGACGAAATCAATGGAGGATTCTGTGCAATAATTACATGAGGTAAGATGGATATCGATTTTGAGACATGACGTAGTATTTTCATATTTTAGTATACACTTTTCATATTAATTCGAAAACAAGCGTATCTCTGTACAAGCGTCTCTCTGTGAAATGTCAACAGAGCACTGAGCGTATACCAAGCTTTTTATTTTCAAAATCCTTTTACATTTAATTCAGCTTGTGTCATGCTAATTTTGTGACCCGCGGAAACAACTTTGAAGACGACAAGCACAAAATGTAAAATCCTCAAAAGTTGTTACGAGAAACCTGCCCCGCTATGTCAACAGAGCTCTGTGCTTATTATCGGATGTATTAGCTTACGAAATCCGACTTTTTGGAGACAATGTTAATGATATGTTAGAGAAAGACCCCACTGAACGCTTCAGAACATGAATAATCATATTTATTTTGGTCAAATGCATTAAGGAAGTTACATTTCGTCACTAATTGCATTTTCAACTAGTGGGTGGACAACCTAAATCAGGGCCGAATTTGGGGCCGAATTTGGCCTGTGGCTGATTTTATTTGGCCCCCAAAGTTTTCTGAGCAAAAAAACATTTTATTTTTATTATTGGACATAAAAGACTGTAAAAACACCAACAAACCAGCTCTAAGTTATTTAAATTTTGGAAATCTGTTCCAAAGTATTCCCACGCATAATAGAGAGATATTTATTGTATTTTTATTTCACCTTTATTTAACCAGGTAAGCCAGTTGAGAACACGTTCTCATTTACAACTGCGACCTGGCCAAGATAAAGCAAAGCAGTGCAGAAAAAACAACAACACAGAGTTACATATGGAATAAACAAAAACAAAACGTACAGTCAATAACACAATAGAAAATCTATATACAGTGTGTGCAAATGTAGTAAGTTATGGAGGTAAGGCAATAAATAGGCCATAGTGCAAAATAATTACAATTTAGTATTAACACTGGAGTGATAGATGTGCAGAAGATGATGTGCAAATAGAGATACTGGGGTGCAAATGAGCAAAATAAATAACAATGTAAATAACAATATGGGGATGAGGTAGTTGGGTGGGCTAATTACAGATGGGCTGTGTACAGGTGCAGTGATCAGTAAGCTGCTCTGACAACTGATGCTTAAAGTTAGTGTGGGAGATAAGTGTCTCCAGCTTCAGAGATTTTTGCAGTTCGTACCAGTCATTTGCAGCAGAGAACTGGAAGGAATGGAATGATATACAGTGGGGTCCGAAAGTATTGACACCCTTGAAAAAAAGGAGTAATAATGACTGTATAAAATAAAGAATTCAAATACTGAGCTTTATACTAATACAATTGCTCAGAGAAAGAGATTTTGTTTAACAAGTAATACTTTTTTTCTCAAAAAGTTAGGGGTCAAAATGATTGACACGCCTAAAGATTCTTATAAATAAAGTAGTCAAAAGTTTAGTATTTTGTCCCATATTCATAGCACGCAATGACTACATCAAGCTTGTGACTACAAACTTGTTGGGTGCATTTGTACTTCATTTTGGTTGTTTCAGATTATTTTGTGCCCAATGTAAATGAATGGTAAATAATGTAGTGTCATTTTGGAGTCACTTTATTGTAAATAAGAACAGAATATGTTTCTAAACACTTCTACATTAACCTAATGTGGATGCTACCAGGATTACGGATAATCCTGAATGAATAGTGAATAATGATGAGTGAGAGAGTTACAGAGGGTCAAAGATCACACCCCCAAGACATGCTAACCTCTCCTATTATTGGTAATGGTGAAAGGTTAGCATGTCTTGGGCTGGGGGTATGATCTTTGACCCTCTGTAACTTTCTCACTCATCCTTATTCACGATTAATTCAGGATTATTAATGATGAATAGTACTGCAAAAGTTAAATAGTCAATTTTTTTCGTGTCAATATATTCAATGTCCTATCAATTTTAGCATTTTTTAAATTTGTTTTTTTTAATGATAAAGTCTGGTGTGTACTGTATAGCCAATGTGGGGATCTATTTTCTTACAACTAGATGTGATGCCTAGCTTAGAAAGAATACATTAATGATTAAACATAATAGGTTTGTGCTGTACTGATATAGATTGTTTAACATAACAAGCTGTGATTAATGTGAGGAACCGTTAGGGGGTAGGCTGAGACAGACGTGTGACTCACATACACACAGCCTCTTTGTTAAACCGCTCAAGGACATGTGTTCTGCTACAAAGAAGGACAAACTATGTCTGAGGTTGCTGGGTCGAGACAAGTTGTAAAGATAACGACTAATGCCCGGCAACAGTGAAGCGCCAAGGGTCTGGGACCAGCCTGTGCGCCAACGATAGGTTGGGTAGGTCTAAACCACACCCAGCCTCTACTCTGACAGGCCCAGCAGGAAGCGGGAACTATCTCTGTCAGAGTATTTAAAGAAGAACTTATAACAATGGCTCAGTTCTCTGTCTGCCCTGCGTGGTTTTTCAGTGAGCCCGTATATATGAACATCATATTTACCATTCAAGTGTTTGCATTAATTAAAATACTAGTCTATCTTAGAAGACGTGTATTGACCTCTTTTTGTTCCTATACCAGATTTGAATTGACGCAACTTGACACCAAGCTCAAGTACAGTGAAGCGTGCAACAGCTACAAGGCTGTCACCAAAATAGAAAATAAATCAGTCAATTGAACAGCCAGGGACACTCCCACTACGGCACTATCAGTGTCTGGAATAATAAATGGGAGTAAAACATGCACGATGCTGTCTGCATTTCCAAAACATGACACTATGGCGATTAAGTAGGATAATTAAAACAGAAGTGTTCCTTAATATAAAGCGTGATAGGCATAATGCAATGGCGCATTGAGCAATGACAGAGTGCAGCCGCTGTGAAACTGGCTCATCCGGCTGCCACTACAGTAGCACGGTGCCGAAATACTATGAGGCATGGTTTTGGAGTACCACTACCAGCCATGACGGGTCTTTTTCTCACTAGCGTTGCAAGCTACTCGCTTCCCCTACTTAGCTAGCTAGCAACTTTAATAATTTGAGACCGTTAACAATGGCTTTTTCATGTCACGGCGTATACCATTCTATGGTAATGCACTTGCAATTTGCATACTTCCCGCTTTCTGGGTTTATCGACACAACATGTTTCAATTCACTGTGGCTAGCTAGCCATCTGGCTAGCCACACACTGGTTGTCAGTTTCTGGGAATAGAAATGCACATATAACAAGCTAATTCGACAGGAATTCAACACTTGTAGATTCACTGAATGCTGTTATTTAATCTTAGCAAGTGACTACCGTTAGCTTGATAGCTAGCTAGCTGGGCTAGCTTTAAATGCTAACATTAGCAAGCAATGAAACACCATTTGAAACATGAATTGTAACAGAATTCAAACTTTTTCAACAATATATCAAAGTAATGTTTAAATTGCGCATACTATTCTGTGATATATATGATAAAACACATTTAAGTATTTATTTTATAAAAGAAAAAGAAAGTACCTGAGCCAAAGCTACAGCAAAAATCCCCTTTCCGATTTTTTTGTGATTGGACAACTATGTTATGTCTGCCTGACTACAAAGCAAACGTCAATTCCAATTGGTGGATTGTTCTAATTCTACTCAGATACCAAGTGTAACTTAAATTCTATTGGTTCAATTGCTTTATTTTCTTGCTAAAGATTATTCTGATAGGAGGCGTTATGACTGGTCTGCCCAGTAACTGAGCTGATGTATCGTCTGGGGAAATTCTGCCTAGTGACAGAAACTTGATTGGTTTACACATATGGGAATATTTTCTTTACTTTTGGGGCGGATTTACATTATGCATAGATCTAGAATCAGTTTACTACTCATCTATCTTAACGTCGCTACTAAACACTGGAAACGTAAAACTGACCTTGTATCAGCATCTAGTGCAATTTAACTCCACTTCTACTCCTTTCATTTGGACTAAATCATCGAAAATGTATAATAAAACTAACACAGCTATTGTTGAGTTTCTTGTTATATTGATTATGCTGCTGGTGAACGTTTACATGTGGTTATAAATAAGATATGTCATTTGGCCTTTTGGTCCTCTGTAGCTCAATTGGTAGAGCATGGCGCTTGTAACGCCAGGGTAGTGGGTTCGATCCCCGGGACCACCCATTCGTAAAAATGTATGCACACATGACTGTAAGTCGCTTTGGATAAAAGCGTCTGCTAAATGGCATATTATATTATTATATTATATTGTTAGAATTGTCTGCCTCCTGTATCCCACAATTCCATATTAATTGCAGCAGAACACAAAACAAGCTTTGTCGTCACATCCGGAAATTTTCAACATGGATCCAAGCGGTTTGAAGCTCAATTTCTGGGAGAATGGACCAAAACCCGGACAATTTTATTCATTTCCAGGCAGCGGTTTAACCCCAGGATGCGGACCTATCAAACACACGCTGTAAGTAAATCATTTTGAGTGATTTGAGTGGAGATCCCTAATAATGTCCTCACTTTCGATTTCCTCGGTACGCTGCAGTGCTGTATCATCATGGTGGAGCAAGCTGATGTAGCTACGCTAGTTAATTATGTTAGCTACACTAGCTCACGGACTACTGCACTGTTATTTAGTTGGGCTACTAGCTAGCTATCTAACTAAACTTAATCTGCTCTCGCGCTTTGTAATTCTATTTCCAACAAATTGACTGATGACGTGATAAGTTTCCCAACTATGCCTCGCTAGTTATCTACCTAATCATATTGTGCTTATGGTAGCTAATGCTAGTATGACATGGCAGTTAGGTAGTTAACTAGCGAGGCATAGTTGGGAGTTAGCTAAGAAAACTCACCATAATAAAATATACTTTTGAATCATAGAAGCATATTATTTAACTAGTCCTACTCCCGGCATAATTTCATTATATATACATGAGTCTAATTGGACGTTCAGCATTCATCTCTCTGTATTACATTTGTAGTGTAACGTTAGCTAATAAGACTTACCCATGACAAACTTTCACATTTTTCCCACCCTAAACTCAAGAAACCCCATGGTGACGGGAACATCAGTGCTGGGAGTGAAGTTTACAGGTGGCGTCATCATCGCAGCTGACATGCTAGGCTCCTATGGTTCCCTGGCACGGTTCCGTAACATCTCTCGACTCATGAAAGTGAACGACAGCACCATCCTGGGCGCCTCGGGCGACTACGCAGACTACCAGTACATGAAGCAGATCATCGAACAGATGGTGTAAGTTTGAGGTTTCTTTCAGAAAAAACTCAGATATGCTGTCTTGTTCCTTGATGGTGAATATTTCCATTCACAATCATGGACCAAGGCACATATATAGCAAATAGACAAGCAGGCACATACACAGCAATCACAGTAGTTCATAGTATATGTAATGGCGATTCCCTATGAAAAGCCACTGGCACAGGAGAGAGCCGTCCATAATGCATCCACAAGAATCAGCTTTTCAAACGTTAACCATTTTGGGTGAAGTTTCCATTTATTGCACATATGAAATATAAATAGCTCCAATACACATATTCCTATACAAAATGTGCAGAGTGACGCATTCTATAAGCTGTATCTGTGATACGGTAAGAACTGTATGCCCTCTCACCTGTGCTTCCTACAGTGCATTCGAAAAGTATTCAGACCCCTTGACTTTTCCCACATTTTTTTTACCGTTACAGCCTTATTCTAAAATGGATGAAATCGTTTTTTCTCCTCAATCTACACACAATACCCCATAATGACAAAGCAAAAACAGGTTTTTAGACTGAAACCCCCACCCGGAAATATCACATTTACATAAGTATTCAGACCCTTTACTCAATACTTTGTTGAAGCACCTTTGGCAGTGATTACAGCCGAGTCTTCTTGGGTATGACGCTACAAGCTTGGCAAACCTGTATTTTGGGAGTTTCTCCCATTCTTCTCTGCAAATTCTCTCAAGCTCTGTCAGGTTGGATGGGGAGTGTCGCTGCAAAGCTATTTTCATCTCTCCAGAGATGTTCGATCGGGTTCAACTCCGGGCTCTGGCTTGGCTGTGTGCTTAGGGTCATTGTCCTGTTGAAAGGTAAACCTTTGCCCCAGTCTGAGGTCCTGAGCCCTCTGGAGCAGGTTTTTATCAAGGATCTCTCTGTACTTTGCTCTGTTCATCTTACCCCCGATCCTGACTAGTCTCCCAGTCCCTGCCCCCGAAAAACATCCCCACAGCATGATGCTGCCACCACCTCTGTTTTTATAGAAAGCTCAACATTTGAGCTGTCATTAAGTAGTAGAAAAGATGGTAAATATGGAATAGTTTGTGATATTAAAATGAAGAGCACAGGGAAGATCATCTTCCAGAATTATTTTACCCCTGGGAATTCCTACATCCTATGGAAGAAGGTGCTCTGAGTGTCATTAGAGCAGAGAGTACAGTTGGGTGATGGTTTGGCATTGTTTTGATATAATTTCCAGGGAGTAAAATAAATGCTGTGAACAAAATTAAAGATAATCATTTGGTGAATCGGATTTCTGGAAGATGGAGCTATATTGTGCCAGATTGTTTGCCAATTGAGATTGTTTTTTACACAATCTGTCAATTGAAAGCGGCTTGGATGAGGTATTTACTAGAAAGGGAATAGATTTCAGATGCGAGACCTCTTTTTCCAAGCAGTACCTTATGAAAGGGATGAAGGTTAAGCTTAGTTTCCCAAGGTACCCCATGAGCAAGGTACCCCATGAGCACTCACAGTGCAGTTGGAAAGTATTCAGACCCCTTGACTTTTTCCAAATTGTTACGTTACAGCCTTATTCTAAAATGGATTATAAATAAATAAAAATATGCTTAAACAGGTTCTTAGAAATGTTTGCAAATGTATTTAAAAAAATGAATAATAACCTTATTTACATAAGTATTCAGACCCTTTGCTATGAGACTCGAAATTGAGCTCAGGTGCATCCTGTTTCCATTGATCATCCTTAAGATGTTTATATAACTTGATTGGAGTCCACCTGTGGTAAATTCAATTGATTGGACATGATTTGGAAAGGCACACACGTCTATATAAGGTCCCACAGTTGACAGTGCACGTCAGAGCAAAAACCAAGCCATGAGGTCGAAGGAATTGTCCGTAGAGCTCAGAGACAGGATTGTGTTGAGGCACAGATCTGGGGAAGGGTACCAAAAAATGTCTGCAGCATTGAAGGTCCCCAAGAACACAGTGGCCTCAATCATTCTTAAATGGAAGAAGTTTGGAACCACCATGACTCTTCCTAGAGCTGGCTGCCTGGCCAAACTGAGCAATCGGGGGAGAAGGGCCTTCGTCAGGGATGTGACCAAGAACCCGATTGTCTCTGACAGAGCTCCAGAGCTCCTACGATGAAGCATGGTTGTGGCAGCATCATGCTGTGGGGATGTTTTTCAGCGGCAGGGACTGGGAGATTAGTCAGGATCAAGGGAAAGATGAACGGAGCAAAGTACAGCGAGATCCTTGATGAAAACCTGCTCCAGAGCGCTCAGGACCTCCCACTGGGGTGATGGTTCACCTTCCAACAGGAAAACGACCCTAAGCACACAGCAAAGACAATACGGGAGTGTCTTCGGGACAAGTCTTTGAATGTCCTTGAGTGGCCCAGCCAGAGCCCGGACTTGAACCCGATCTAACATCTCTGGAGAGACCTGAAAATAGCTGTGCAGCGACGCTCCCCATCCAACCTGACAGAACTTGAGAGGATCTGCAAAGAAGAATGGGAGAAACTCCCCAAATACAGGTGTGCCAAACATGTAGCGTCATACCAAGACTTGAGGCTGTAATCTCTGCCAAAGGTGCTTCAACAAAGTACTGAGTGAAGGGTCTGAATACTTAAGTAAATGTAATATTTTTACTTTTTTATAAATTTGCAAAAAACTTTAAAAACCTGTTTTTGTTTTGTCCTTATGGGGTATTGTGTGTAGATTGAGGGGAAAAAACAATTTAATCAATTTTAGAAAAAGGCTGTAACGTAACAAAATGTGGAAAAAGTAAAGGGGTCTGAATACATTCCGAATGCACTGTAGACAAATGTAATTGAAGTAGAAAAGAACAAGGTGCCAGGCAGGTTGTGATTTGGTTGGATGTCTTGTAATGCGTGGAGACCGTCATCCCAAACATTTCTGACTTTATGTGCACTCCATTGTCATGCCATAGGGGAAACGAGATAGGGTGCCCTCCCACCTGGAGACCAAAATAATGGAAAATTGGCAATTGGAGGTACCAGTTGGAGTTAGGTTTGATTAAAGATATCTAAAAGGTGGGGAAGAGACTGAGAAACATTCTGGAGGGGTCGCTTTGTTTAAAAGGTTTCTGGCATCATTTCCTTCACTTTGGTGCTGAAACCTTTGCTTGGTTATCTCCCTGAGGACCACGAGTGATCAGATCTGTCTGTGTTTGTGTCCCAGGATCGATGAGGAGCTCCTAGGTGACGGTCACAGCTACAGCCCCAAAGCCATCCACTCCTGGTTGACGCGGGTAATGTACAACCGCCGCAGCAAGATGAACCCACTGTGGAACACTGTGGTCATCGGTGGATTTTACAACGGCGAGAGGTGGGCTGAGTTTTCAACATCTTTAACTAGTCATTTTTTGTCCTTATCAGAGGTCATGCCAAGAGGTGGAACTCTTGAAATTGCTTAGAAATGTGGGCGTGCCCGTTGCCATATTAAATAGAATATTTAAACCATGACCCTGGTTAGTTTTTGCCTTTAACAAACCTCCTACCCTGGTCTCGATGTTAACATCAAACTGACTTGGGATCTGCAGATAAATACATATTGTAGCTAGCTACACCAAAATAAATGCATAACTTGACATCAACTTGTATTTTTCTCTAGCTTCCTGGGCTATGTGGACAAGCTGGGTGTGGCCTATGAGGCACCTACAGTGGCGACAGGGTTTGGCGCTTACCTGGCGCAGGTGAGAGGCCAAATGAGCTAATGAACGCGAGGGAACTGCTACTGGGTGGCAGTAATGACTTCTATACATTTCATCGTTTATAATTTATCTTTAGCAATTGAAAGATAAGATGCCATAGTTTCTATTCGCAAGATTGGCTAAAGTTGTAATTCCTTTTCCAAGTTGTAGAGCTGAGCTACACTAGTTCATATGAAGTAGTGGCAACCCCTTCTGGGACAAGAAATTGTATGAATATAATTGGAAGTAATCTGTACTGCATGATGCGTCTGCATCAAATTCAGATGTTACCTCATGTTGATACTGTATGTAAAAATGGATGTTCGAGTTCTACACGGACCCTTGCAGTATGTCTGGGTTTGTTGACTGTAAGGTTATTATTTGTGTCCATGCAGCCCCTGATGAGGGAGGTGGTGGAGAACAAGGTGGAGATCACCAAGGATGAGGCCCGGGCTCTGATTGACCGCTGCCTCAAAGTGCTGTACTATCGCGACGCTCGCTCTTACAACAGGGTGAGTCGTTAGTCTCGGAACTGTCCTGAATTTTTTTGCTGCTATTTTCAACAGCACATTGGGAATGTCAATGTTTCTATTTTGAAGCTACCAGTCTCGTAGCTATTTGTGACACTGTTTCTGTTTATAGCATGAAATTGCCATTGTGACAAAAGAAGGCGTGGAGATTGCTGGCCCCATGTCCTGTGAGACCAACTGGGAAATTGCCCACATGGTCAGGTAGGTTATAGCCACATGACTGTCTAGTCAGAAGTGTCCATCAAGTTGGTATTATGTTTAGTGTAGTAAACTTAGTTTATCACTTGAGGAAAATTCTGTTTAAAGTTGTCATTTCTTTGTCCTAAATTGATTAAAGCATTTCATTGAGCAGATACATTGTAGAGCTTGTGGAATATTTCACACAGGATGTGCCTCTCTAATTAATATGATAATGTGATAAGAATGACATTTTCTTTTACAGTGGGTTTGAATGAGGACGATGTTGGCGATTCAGGACTACGTTAAGCCACACTATTGGTCTGTTCCATTACATTCTAAAATGTTACCACTTTGATAGGACTGCTATGTAACAATTTTAGTTTCCCCCCCCCCTTTTGTAATATGAAAAATAAATGTAAAACATCTGAATGGGTGAGTTATTTAAACTTGAATGACAGTCAGGCTTAAAATAAATCTGAAGTTCTGAGATTATCTTCATATACTGTAATTGGAAAGGTCCACACACAAGCAGAGCAGAGGGCAAACATTCTTGGGAAGAAATGACACCTAAGCACTTGTAGACTTTTGTAATACTCACATTTATCCACATCAAAGTGGTAAAAGAGGACCCTGTGTCAAGAGCAAATCCTGTCTGCTTCCATGTTAAGCACAAATTATTTTCGGTTCAACCATACAGAACTGCACCGGACTATGCTGTTAATACCACAAAGGAAATCCCACCATTAAAGCAGAGTTGACACTTTATTTCATATTTAAAAATAGTGAATTGTTCAGGTGAAGAAAAATAAACCAAGAGGTAGGATGGAATCTAAGAGAAGGCAGTTGGTAAGGCATGATCTGAGATTTCCTGTGAACGGCGTGGTTGGTTTTCTTGAGGTAATTTCTCATTAGACGTGATTACATTAAAGGCTAGATCGCTTTCAGTACATAAACAGAAATGGGGAAATTGAAACAATGGCCAAATGATAAGGGATGGGCTACATCTGTCTTTGCTAAATCCAGCACAGCTTTATAAATGAACAGTAGATTAGAAGATATGGCAGAGCTCTGGCACCATTTCTACATGCACATACAGTCGTACATTTAAGTGAGTTAACAGAATATCAAACAATCCCTACTAGAAGTGACATTCTGATCTCTAAGCCTAGGAATGACCGTTTCAATCAATTCTTAAGAAATTAGAGTACAAGTTATTTACAAAGCCTTTAGTCTAGTGCTGACAGGAAGGGACCATTTAATTGCATAAGACAGGTTGTGTTAGTCATATTTAATGGTTGAACCTTATAGGGTTACACGTAAGACAAACATAGAAAGACATACAGCAGCTTGTCATAGAAAATGTACAAAAACACATTTGAATGTTCCACCCACAGAACAGCAAAAGTTACCTCACCTTCCGAAGTGAAAGGAACAAACAGGTGCACAGTTTAACGGGGGTCCGGTAAAGTCTCCAGAGCTATCCCATCTCTGCTTCAAATGTCACAATTCCCTTGGTTTGAAAGTGTCAATAGATACAAGTCCGTAGTCTGTGGTGTCAGTAAAAAAAAAAAAAAGATCAATCAGTTTCCTCAAAACCGTGGAAAGACTCCAGATCGCTGTCCTTCTCAAACACCTGTTTGAGTGCTTGCGGGTTGGGTGGCGGCGAGGGCAAGGTGTCCGAAACCACACCTTTGTCCTCTGGCTCCACTTTCATTAGCACTTCAGCGCTCTTCATCGACCTTGCCGGAGAAAGCGCGACCAGAGCCTCGGTCAGGCTCTGCACCAGTTCTGCAGGGCCTTCCTCTCCTTCCTCCTGTGGCGGTGTGCTGACCATCATGAAGGACTGCTGGAGGATCTGAGGCTGCGTGACCAAGCATGAGACCACGTCACCCAGACATTCCACCAGCATTAGGGCCAGGTCAGCTGGCCCCAGAGCCACAGCTCCTTCATTCTGGGTGTACATCTCGCACCAGCGGGCCTGCAGAAACTCCTTCATAACAGGCGCCACGCACAGCTCCAGGGGCTGCAAGCGGCAGGAGCAACCGATTGGGATCACCGCCGGCAGGGTGTTGCTGCTGTTGAGGGCAGCCAGGAAGTCGTCAGCCAGGTGGCCGTGGTGGGTGTCAATGATCAGCAGACCTTTTCCCCCTGCCTGGGGGTTCACATGCTTCTGCCACACCTTAGAGAGCCACAGCTGGAGCCGCTCGTCGTCCGTAAAGCCTTGCGGGCGCGCCTCCAGGAAGACCGAGTCCGGGATGGCCTTCTGGAGGTGTGGAGGGTTGCCTTTGAGGAACACCATGGTGGGCAGCATGGTGCCGTCGGCCAGCCCCGCTAGGACCACCTCTATCAGGGGCTCCCTGGTGCCGATCAACTGGAACGCCTCAGGGCTCGTCTTGAGATTATCCAGGTCCACGAACACAGAGAGCTCGTCGATGCATCCGATGGTGGGTGGCCGGAAACCGACATCTTTGACCTGCTTGCAGACAAAGCGAGTGAAGATGCGGACGCTCTCGTATACGTTGCGCGGCAGTGGGCGCTTGGCCGAGCAGGAGGCCTGCAGGCTGAGGTTGTGGCGGAGCATGAACTCCACGGCCCACTCGTAGAACTCACCGATCTCGTGCGACTCCTCCAAGGCCTGCGTGGCTGTCTTGAGCAGGTTTTCCTCTGTGACTGGCAGCTGCTGCTCCCGCTGGCACATCACCCACTCTGCGATGCGGTCCGTGTTCCAGATCCAGTTCTTCTGGAGGCGCTGGCTCTCCTGCTGGAGCATCCAGTCCTGGATGAGTTCTGGCTGGGTGCCAAAGCGCAGGGATGCCTGGGAGAAGCCGCTGCACAGGGCGTAGAGCAACACCTTCAGCTGGTGCACCGTCAATTTGGTTGACCCTTCTTTCCTGGATTTACCCATCCTGGCCTCTCCTTCGTGGAAAAACGCTCTGTTGCTCAGCCCCTTGAACCCGTGGGACTCCACTGCCTGGGGCTCCATCACATGGCCCAAGCCGCCGACCTTGGGGGTTGTCCAGACACCATTGGATGCAGCAGGACCAGTGGAGGGCATGGTTTTATTGGGACCAAGGACCGTGATCGTCATGCTGGGCTTGGAGGATAGCAGCGGTTTGATAGAGAGCAGGGTGGAACTATTGCTAGCTGGTAGCAGATGGATAGGCACAAAAGACCCTCCTTGACCTGGGTTGATTTCCGTACCAACAATGCTACAGGAGGAATGAAAAGAAACAAACATGTTAGTTTTCAGGAAGCTCAGTCAATTACACACACATTTGATAAAGTAGCAATGGAGTGTCACAGTGCAACCAAAGCGTAACTAGGCTTCAACTTGAGCAAACTCAGTTCTGTCCAACAGTAAGTAATTTCACTCAATATATAAGCGAATATTAAATACCTTTGAGAAGCCTCCTCAGGAACATCTGAATGGGGGGAAAAAAATGAAAACATGAAAGGGTTGCCATATAGAAAGGTTTGACCTTATACAAAGATACTTAAATATCAGAAGGTGGAACTCAACTTAACCTTCCACCTCCAGCTTTCTGAAGTTTGCAGCATCATGGTCTGGGTGATCCACTAGATGGTTGGCCATCATATCGCCCACCTTGGTCTTGTAGTTACAAGACGTGCACCTCATCTCATCCATTCTGAAATGGGACCAACAGAGGATTTCGAGCAATCAGCATTAAAACACTACATTCAGTTAAATACTGCCCAAAAAATGGTCTGAGGAAATGATTGTTACCTTGGGTATGACTCGTACATGGCCAGATATTGGGTGGTGCTCTTGCGAGTCACGTGGTTACTGCAAGTGAAAAGAGACAGAAAACATGTCGTACACCTTTCTCCAAACCAACATTTCAATTACCCACTGATGTAAGAAATAATTAGGGGAATCTTCAGTTGACGTTAACATCTTGGGAGTGTGGGGTGTTGAGCAACGTCACTCACTTGATCATGTGATTGGCGTAGGCCCGGGAGCAACAGGTGCAGTAGCGACACAAGGAGCAGTGGACGTAGGTGGGGAAGTGGTTGGCAAAGTCGGGAATCTTAAAGGTGCACTCCATGCAGTTCTGTTGGTCCAGCGATGCACTGTGGGGAAGGAAGTGGAAGGAAGGCAGGTTACCCATGGTGCACAGCGATGGAAGGTCAAGCTTATCCATTTTAGATATTCAATTTCTATCCGCATCATCCTAGAACACTGCTCCAAATGTTGCTATACGGCAAAGATAAAAGCTTTGTTTACAGTATTCATTTAAACTCAATTGAGTCTGAATAAAGCTTGGAGTCAATTCCATTTCATGCCAATAAAGTCAGGGGGAAAACATCAACCCTCTACCTCATCTGGAACTTAGTGAGCAGCTCCATAAGGCTCTCAACAGGCTTCTTCTTGGGCTCGGGTTTTTGGGGAGCAGACGGAACATCAATCACTTTGGAGGGCCGGAGGTCTCCTCGGCCCGAAGACTCCTGATAGTAGTACTGCTTGCCCTGCAGCGCATAGGCCCGGATGGTCACCTGGAACACAGAAATATTCTTAGACCACTATTAGTAACAGTCAAAAGTTTGGACACACCCACTCATTCCAGGGTTTTTCTTTATTTTTACTATTTTCTACATTGTAGAATAATAGTGAAGACAAACTATGAAATAACACATATGGAATCATGTACTAACCAAAAAAAGTGTTAAATCAAAATATATTTTATATTTGAGATTCTTCGAAGTAGCCACCCTTTTCCTTGACAGCTTTGCACACTCTTGGCATTCTCTCAACCAGCTTAAGAGTTGGTCACCTGGAATGCATTTCAATTAACAGGTGTACCTTGTTAAAGGTTTTTCCTTCTTAATGCGTTTGAGCCAATCAGTTGTGTTGTGACAAGGTAGGGGTGGTATACAGAAGATAGCCCTATTTGGTAAAAGAACAAGTCCATATTATGGCAAGAACAGCTGAAATAAGCAAAGAGAAATGACAGGCCATCATTACTTTAAGACATGAAGGTCAGTCAATCCGGAACATTTCAAAAACTTTGAACGTTTCTTCAAGTGCAGTCACAAAAACCATCAAGCGCTATGATGAAACTGGCTCTCATGAGGACCGCCACAGGAAAGGAAGACCCAGAGTTACCTCTGCTGCAGAGGATAAGTTCATTAGAGTTAACTGCACCTCAGATTGCACACATCTCAACATCAACTGTTCAGAGGACACTGCGTGAATCAGGCCTTCATGGTCAAATTGCTGCAAAAAAACCACTACTAAAGGACACCAATAAGAAGACTGGTACTGTACATCAATAATAATCCCATTATGCAAAGGGTCAATGCATAACATTCACAGAGAAAGTACAGACAAAAATTTGGAATATCATACCCTAGCAATCACTCACGCATGTGCGCACACACACATGTATACACACACACACATACAGATTGCACACACACACACACACCTTGGTACCAGGCTTCAGGCCCTCCAGCTGCCGTGGCTTGAGGTGGGTTTTGTGGTACTGCACCTTGTGCTCTGCCCGGTCCTTGGCGAAGAGGAATTGAAGCCGGCACCGGTCACATTGAAACACAGTTTTTTTCTGCACACAAACGAGGAAAATGGGTTTCAGAAAGAAAATGGAGTGGAATAGACTGGCTGCCAATGTATCTGATGTAGCCTCATTGGGTTTACCTGGTGGCGGTTGTAGTGGTTCTGGTAGTTGCTGCTGGAACGGAACACCTTGAGGCAGTAGGGGCACAGCAGATTGGCTGTGCCGTTGTGGACCTCACGGAAGTGGGCGAAAACGTCCACATACAGGGACGAGCGGTAGTCGCATACCTTCACAAAGAAAAGAGAAGTGGGGGGGGGGGGGGGTGAATTACATGAGACCATTTTAAGGGTGAATTGCATTAGGAGACACTACGTGTTGATATAGTGAGCTTTTCCCCAGGACAAGGACATTGCGTAGAAATGCACTCACCGGCCAGTTTATTAGGCCACCCCGTTCATGAAAATGTATCACTCATACAGACAGTGAGTGACGTAGTTGTGGCTTGCAAGCAGACAGGCATCGGGGCATTCCGTTACTGTTCGATTGAACATTAGAATGGGCAAAACGAGTGACCTAAGCGACTGAGCGTGGTTTTATCGGCGGTGCCAAGTGCGCCTGATCCACTATCTCAGAAAGGGCCGCCATCCTGGGCTTTTCACGCACGACAGTGTCTAGGGTTTACCGAGAATGGTGCGACAAACAAAAAAACATCCAGTCAGCGGCAGTCCTGTGGGCGAAAACAGCTCATTAATGAGGTGGAAGGAGAATGGCAAGAATCGTGTAAGCTAACAGGCAGGCCACAGACAGACATAACGGCGCAGTACAACAGTGGTGTGTAGAACGGCATCTCGGAACGCACAACTTGTCACGGATGGGCTATTGCAGTAGACAACCACATCGGCTTCCACTCCTATCAGCTAAAAACATTAAGAAGCAGCTCCAGTGGACACGCGATTACCAACACTGGACAACTGTGGAAAAACACTGACTGGAACATGACAGCGAGTTCAGTTTACTTGAATAGCCTGCGCAGTCCCCAGACCTCAACCCAATAGAGCATCTTTGGGATGAGATGGAATGGGCTGTTCGCAGCATGAATATACCGCCGTCCAATCTACAGCAACTGTGTGATTCCATCTCGTCAGCATGGACCAACATCCCTGTGGAACGTTTCCAACGCCTTGTAGAATTCCCCGAAGAATTCAGACTGTTCTGGAGGCAAAGGGGGGTCCGACCCGGTACCACGTGGGTGTACCTAATAAACTGGTCGGAGAGTGTATATGGACTTGGAGACAGTATAAGTAATGACCAAGGGGCTGATTCTGATCCGAGTTAAGTGCGCATAAATGGAACACAGTTTTTATTGCACTTTTCTCTAAGGGTATTCTGACCTTGAACTTAAAGGAAAACTCCACCAAAAAACCTTTTGGTATTTGTTTCATTAGTCCATTGTTGATATAGTCCCAAAATGTTTTGCATGTCAGCAATCAAGTTTTGAAGATATATAACTTGCAAAATACAGAAATAGAGCCGGTATGATGCATTTTGCTGCAGTTCTCTCGATATATATTATTTTGAGTCTGTCAAATTCTAATTTAAAAAATACACCGTATTTAAAGGGATGGCTTTCAATAAATGTACTGAAAACCCTATTGAATGAAAATCTGTTAGCAAGCGGGAGGGTTTTTAGCAGTTGAATCAAATGTATTCAGTGCACACAAGGGAGCCACACCTACAAAGCCCTTTACGCACTTGCATACGGTAAGTCTGAATACAAACTACTGAGAAGTGCTTCAATCAAAACGCGTAAAAAAGGAATAGATTTCCTAAGTCTGAATCGGGCCCCAAGTGGGCACTGTTTACCTGGCAAATGTAGGGCATCTCTCCCGGTTTGTGGGTGTTCTTCATGTGCTGCAGGAAGACAGGCTCGCTCTCGTATGCCCACTCGCAGATCTTACACTTAGCTGTGATAAAACAGAAAAAAGGCCAGAGTGTCACATAAGCATTCAAAGTGGTTCAATTCACCCAATTCCCAACAGGGCAATATATCAGCATCAAGTGCTGATTCAATGTGCTTTGACTGCGTGGGGAGAATGTTGGTGGGATGGCAAGTGCCGATAGTCACTTTGTTTTAGCGCCAGTATGTGGTATGACTGAATGGTTGGTGGGCGAGTGGGGAGCGAGCTAGTACTCACTGGTGGACTCCAACTGGCTGTGGACGCGCTCCACGTGGCACTGCAGGCGGAAGGGCGTAGCCAAGTTGCGGAAGCAGTGCTGGCAGGAGGTGTGCGTGTCCACCTCGCCGTTCTGCTGCGCCGTCATCTCCACGTGGTGACGCATGTGGTTCATCAGCCTGGAAGAGAGGAGTGGAAGATGGAGGACAAAGCGTGTGAGAGGGTAAGATTTCAGTCAATTCGACAAAACATGAAATTGATTAAAAAACATAACATGAATTCCTGTTTCCCACACTCCACCACTCACTTGATGTTAGTCTTCAGTGTCTTTTCGCAGTGGATGCACTTGAAGATGCCCGGCAGCTTCTCCACTGGTGCGCCACTCAGGTTTCGGCCCTTGTCCACGCCGTAGTAGAAGTCCTCCACCAGCATGATGAGCTTGCCCTGCTGGTCGGCCTCCAGGATGGGGCTGCCACCCTCGGCCACACACACCGGTCGCACCGGCGTGGTGACTGGCTCCTTGGAGGTCTCCTTGGAGGTCTTGGAGAAGGACGAAGAGGAGGAGGAGGAAGGAGAGGAGGCGGTGGCTTTGGATGCCTTGGACTTGGATTTGGAAGATTTGGAGGGTTTGGAGGAAAGCTTGGCCGCAGCATTGATGGCATCCAGGCTCAGGGCGATCTGCTTGCTGCAGAGCTAGAAGGTAAATGAGACCAGTAGGGTAAAGATCAATATTCATACATCTCTATTTATTACCATTATCAGCGTTTAAGACACCACAGGACGCTTTTAGGGTAGATGACATAATAGCAGAGGATTTTGCCACATCAGGACGAGCTTTTAACAACAGTCCTTCACAGTCGGACCTGGGCTAATAATATCTATAATAATATCTATATGAACGTCAACATCCACTAAATAAGTTACATCAATTTCCCAAAGAGAGTATAAAGTATACCTAAGGCACACTTACACACATGAAGCCCCGGAGGGCGTTGACCAATTTGTACTCGGATCTACAGCGCTTGCACATCTTTGGCTTGGCGGGGGCTGGTGCAATCACTGCAAAATAAACACCAGTACTCTGGGTAAGAAAACTATTTAATGTGCCAAATCACAGTACACTATGGGGGGGGCTTGGTCAGTAGTAAATTACCTTTGACTTCAATAGGATATTCTATTAGTATGGACGATTTCTTGTTTGGAGTGGTAAAACAACAGGCTACACAGTAGTAATATCTGAATGATGAATGCAGTACCAACCTATTTCTCTTAGCTATTACAGGAAAGCGGTGTGTTCCTGGAGACTACTAACCTCTGAGGGGTGCACTAGGAGAGGGAGCAGTGCTCAGACCACTGGTAGCAGGGGACCTGGTAGTGCTGGGAGCTGGTTGCAGGGTCGGATGCTGCTGTGTTCTGGGTGAGATGGTGAGGGGTGCAGTGCTCACAGCATAGCTTCCTGCTGCACCTGAAGAACTGGCTGACACAATCCCTACACACACACAACAAAGCGGGATTAGTGTTCCAAGACAATGATTCATAACAAATGACAAATCAGAAGGTGGGTTTTTTAACAATAAAGTTTACGCTATTAGATTAGACTTCAATTCATACTGACAATAATTGGTTTGCTAAGACTGCAATTTAATTTACAATCCCTGTATTCAACTTGTGGTGAGACTGATGGCCCACAAGGACTAGAGCCTTCCTTACCTGTGACAGATGGAGTGGTGGCGGGGGAAGATGAGAGGTTGACCCCGCCAGAGGCCACAGTGCTGATGGTCTGGACTCCATTGGTGGTGCGGATGGTGAGGGTGACGGGGATCCGCACTGTGGTGAAGCCGCTGGCGGATGGCCTACCCCTGGGCTGAGACAGGACCTGCTGGGGTGCTAGCTGCAGCTGGGTTCCCTGGCCTGCAGAAAAAACAGTAGTGAGCCGCTCACAATAGGCAGGTTTCCATTGACACAGGTTTATTCGACAAAAGCAATGTCGCAAAAAAAAAACATTGCGATGGAAGCTATAGGAGAAATGTTCTAAAGATCGGCAACATTTTTATCTGTTCGACAGGGGTGGATTTTTATTTTGTCAAACTGTCTTTATTGCGACAAATGAGTAAACTATTTTTCCTGAATAAATTATTATTGCCAAATCATTTTGATGGCATGCGGGGCATGTGATGTCATGTCATCACGTAGGCCTCTCCACATTTAATTTGAAATGCCTACTGCTTGCAGGACAAGGATTGTCCTGACTTTCAAGAATACCTGAAATTGCTATGCTTTGCTTTTCTGGTTGGCTGGATTCAAGTTTCACCTTGTTGGCATATGACAATTATTAGAATATGGCAAATAATAGTCAATTCTTGCATTCTATCAATGCTAGCTTTTGCGGGCTACCCGAGACATGAAACAGATATGTGGGAGGGCATACAGGCTGTTGCCAATTTATTAATGTGCAACCACCTCGTTTTTGCGAGGTGTGACGTCATTACATCCGGCTGTTTTTATTGACACAAGACAGTTATTTGGAAACGCACAGTAGCAGGCAATTGTTGCATCTATTTTCTATGCAAACTTTCTAAATGTTGACAACTTCAACAACAAAAAAAAGAATCACTGGAATAATAATAATAATTATAATAATGGAAACATAGCTATTGTCCATTTGCATTTTACAAAACACTTCCCACTGGATAAAATATAACTTTCCGTTCTTTTATTACCCAAAGTTTGCATGACACAATTACAGAACACAAACACTCCCTGTCACATTTCTCTTGATCCCACTAAAGGTGGTTACTTCTAGGTTTCAGGTGGGCAATGAAATACTTAGTTAGCTATCAGGACATTGATAAGATAACAAGAATAGACATTACTAATGTTAGCTACGTACCACCAGGCAGCACGGTGATGGGCTGGCCATTCAGGATATAGCCTACCGGTTTAGCACTTATGGTCTGTGTCGCCCCTTGAATGTTCTGCACCACAAAAAGAAAGATCATAGCAATGACTTAAACTCATTATTCCTATAGAAAAAAACAAGTCCATGAAGCGCTGCCTGGTCCACTGTTGTCAACCTAAACGTTCGCTGCTCAGCAGTAATCTAATGAGAACAATCACGGCAGGGTTCAGATAGAAATATGATGTAGAACAAACATGCCTCTCTGACATTCAGAATAAGGAATCACGTCTGCTCTATTCAGGATATACCCCACTGATTTGGCGCTTATGGTCTGTGTGGCCCCTTGAATGTTCTGCACCACAAAAAAGACAAAGAACATAGCAATCGGTACGTTTACATGCACACTAATAATTTAATATTAAACAGATTATGGAAGTAGGTTGAATATGGCATTAGTCATGTAAACACCTTACCCTGCTCAACTTAAATCGGCTTACGTCAAAGTAAGCATACGCTGATTAAAACACCAGGTTTTCTGAGCAATCTTTTGAATTATTAGGACATGTAAACACCTTAATCAGCGTTATAGCTGATTAAGCTAATTTGATTTGCGCATATGCTTGCACGAGCTTACTTCTTTTAGGCGAGTGAAGTTAGTTTGGAAAAACTGAAAGTATTTATCTTAGAAATACACTGATGTACAAAACATTAGGAACATGATAAACTGACCAGATGTATCCAGGTGAAAGCTATGATCCCTTATTGATGTCACCTGTTAAATTCACTTCAATCAGTGTAGATGAAGGGGCGAAGACAGTTAAAGAAGGATTTTTAGCCGTGAAAAAATTAAGAAAAGATTGTTAATCATTCAGAGGGTGAATGGGCATGACAAAAGATGTAAGCGCCTTTGAACAGGGTATGGTACTAGTGCCAGGCACACCGCTTTAAGTGTGCCAAGAACTTCAACGCTACTGGGTTTTTCATGCTCAACAGTTTCCCGTGTGTATCAACAATGGTCCAATACCCAAAGGACATCCAGCATCCCTGTGAAACAATTGGCACCTTGTAGAGTCCAATCCCCGACGAATTGAGGCTGTTCTGAAGGCAAAAGGGGTGCAACTCAATATTAGGAAGGTGTTCCTAATGTTTTGTACAGTCAGTGTAGTTTTCACATACAAACTTTTATAATTTATGTCTGAACTCAGAATCAAATAGGCTTCACAAAAATAACATTGTCGCTGTGGTAGAAGGTTTATTTTGATTGGCAATTTCCTGCATTTATCAGTCCCATCAGCTAGCCTGATTTCAGATGTGTCCATGTAAACAGGATTATTAGGCAAATCGTTCTTCTTGCAAAGCATGTAAACATTTAAATCAAACTATATTAATCTGACTATTCACAATCATTATTGTACTCAACTGTACTCACTGAAGCTCATTCTTCCTATAGAAAAACACAAGTCCATGAAGTGCTGAATGGTCCACTGTTGTCAACCTGAAATGCACTGCTGCTCAGCAGCAATCTGCTAAGAACAATCACCCCATCGCTAGTTCTTATAGAAATATATGATGTAGAACAAACATGCTTCTCTGACATTCAGAATAAGGAATCATGTCTGCATACCTGTGAGGTGAATATGATGTTCTTCCCAGTGGTGCTGCTGGTGCTAGGCAGCATAGTGGTTGGCATCTGCAGCACCTGAGGCATGGAGGTCTGAAGAGGCTGCAGCACTTGAGTCAGGACCATTGGTTTGGGTAGTAACGGTGCTGCAGAGATGGGCCAAAGTCAATATACTCCCTATGAGGCTTAAACAGGTTGGTTACGTGTGTCCATTGAACCATGTTTTATGCTACTGTGACTACACGTCACACGTCAGTAAGACAAAAAAGAAGTGAAGTCAAAACTGTTTCCAAGAGTATACGTGTAACTGCCAAAAATAATGGGAACATTTGAGTAAATGAGGGATACAAAGTATACTGATAAAAAATATAAATGCAACATGTCAAAGATTTTACTGAGTTACAGTTCATATAAGGAAATCAGTTAATTGAAATAAATTCATTAGGCCCTAATCTATGGATTTCACATGACTTGGCAAGGGTGCAGCCATGGCCCAGCCAATCAGAATGAGTTTTCCCCACAAAAGGGCTTTATTACAGACAGAAATACTCCTCAGCACCCCCTCAGACGATCCCGCAGGTGAAGAAGCCGGATGTGGAGGTCCTGGGCTGGCGTGGTTCCACGTGGTCTGCGGTTTTGAGACTGGTTGGACGTACAGGCAAATTCTCTAAAACGACGGAGGCGGCTTATGGTATTTAACATTTATTTAACTAGGCAAGTCAGTTAAGAATGAATTCTTATTTACAATGACGGCCTAGAGAAATGAACATTCAGATCTCTGGCAACAGCTCTGGTGAACATTCCTGCAGTCAGCATGCCAATTGCAAAACTTGAGACATCTGTGGTATTGTGTTGTGACAAAACTGCACATTTTAGAGTGGCCTTTTATTGTCCCCAGCACAAGGTGCACCTGTGTAATGATCATGCTGTTAAATCAGCTTCTTGATATGCCACACCTGTCAGGTGGATGGATTATCTTGGCAAAGGAGAAATGCTCACTAACAGGGATGTAAACAAATGTGCACAAAATTCGAGAGAAATACGCTTTTTGTGTGTATGGAACATTTCTGGGATCTTTTACTTCAGCTCATGAAACAACACTTTACAATTTTTATTTTGTTCAGTATATATTGATGGCAGGTGCTTCCACACAGGTGTGGTTCGTGAGCTAATTAAGCAATTAACATCCCACCATGCTTAGGGTCATGCATAAAAGGCAGGCCATGCCCCCATAGGATGACAATCATTTTATATTTTAGTCATTTAGCAGACGCTCTTATCCAGAGCGACTTACAGTTAGTGAGTTACTTTTTTTTTTTTTTTTTCCCCACTGTAATTTTTGTATTTAGTTTTTTTAAATGCTGGCCCCCCGTGGGAATCAAACCCACAACCCTGGTGTTGCAAACGCCATGCTCTACCAACTGAGCTACATCCCTGCCAGCCATTCCCTCCCCTACCCCGGACGACGCTGGGCCAATTGTGCGCCGCCCCGTGGGTCTCCTGGTCGCGGCCGGCTACGACCGCGACCTTAGACCACTGCGCCACTCGGGAGATTAATGGACCCATCCACAGGGCACTGAATGGTTTGATGAGCATGAAAACGATGTAAACCATATGCCATGGCCGTCTCAGTCACCAGATCTCAACCCAGTTGAACACTTGTGGGAGATTCTGGAGCGGCGCCCAAGACAGTATTTTCCACCACCATCACCAAATGATGGAATTTCTTGTGGAAGAATAGGGTCGCATCCCTCCAATAGAGTTCCAGACACTTGTAGAATCTATGCCAAGGTGCATTGAAGCCATTCTGGCTTGTGGTGGCCCAACACCCTATTAAGACAATGTTGTTTTCCTATTTGGCAGTTACCTGTATATCCCTATATATTTTTTAAACACCATGCCAGAGCACTCACCAAGGGCAGGCATGGGTTTGGTTGTGATGCTACTGCTGTCGCCGAGGTGCATCACTGAAGTGTCATCGGGAGGTACTGGGAAGGCAATTTAAAGAACCATGAACTGACGACGATAGAATATGGCAATGATACTGATAATAATACAGATTCACCATTCACATGTCTATTTTGAAACTGTTGCTATTGAGAATTGAGTCCCAAAACATACAGAATGACATGACCCAAGGAAGCAGGTTACATCGAGTCTGCACACAGCACACTCACCTTTACTGGGTCCCTTGCTTGTTTCTTCCATATCCTCATCTGGTTGCTGTTGCCACGGTGTCAGATCCTCCTCCACACACTCCATGTGGAGCTCTGAGTCTGTCGCGTTGATCTCAGAGTCTGTCATGTTGACGTCTGAGTCCGCCATGCTCATAACTGTAGATTAGTTGATATAATATGGACATATCTATGATCACGTTTTAAAATATTGGCACATGACATGACAGTGGCAATCATGCAAAGTCAGAAAGTAGAGCATCAGCTCTTGCTCCTTGTGTATCTTATTCACTGCATATGTGTTGTCCAGTTTTAAAGGGAAAGCTGGTGTGGTTGTAGTTAAGGAGGAAGAGAAAATGAATTATTTTTATTGTCTTTACCAAATTTGGTGCATTAAAGATGCACTATGCAGAAATCACTCAGCCATTTCCTGGTTGCTAAAATTCTAATAGTTTTCTTTAATTTCAGTTTGTGACAAAACAAGTAAGTATAGTGTAGATAATCATTGTACCATCTAAACTGCTGTGAAATATATTTTACAGAACCGAAAATATTGTATTTTAGCTGGTGTATTAAACTGAAAGTAAATGATGTCAGACACGAAACTTTACGGAAACATAGAAATAACACATAGAACAGATCTACCGCTTCTTAGACTTGCTTTCAACAAGAATGACAGATCTATAACAACATTTCTATGTGAATTTGGTCTGGTCGCCCAAAAAGGTGTGATGAGAAAATGCTGCTCATGAACGCTGGTCCAAGATCAGCTTCCTATCTTCTAATCTTCATTTTCCCTACAACAACCAGTGCAAACTAACTTGTCCTGGATCAGTAGTGACGTTCGATAGTGCAGTGCGCGTGTGCATGGATTCCTGCAGCCCACTCTGCAACATGACTCCATGCAAACAGCAAGGCGTGAGCCTGAGCTAGCACCACTGCTAGCTAACTTGCTAGCAAGCAAGCTAACTGAGTTCAACAACTGGCAACATCTAAATCTATTCACGAAGCATGCCAATGACTTACCTTGTTCACTCTTTTGCCGAAGTTAAATAAAAAGTAAGAAGTACAACAAACCGTGGAGAAGTGAAGTGAAAAACAAAGATCTGTAGAATGGTGACTGCTACCGTTTTTCCCTTTTCGGCTCGCGTAGGAAGGCGCAAGAAAATCGCACGTCATTTCCAGTTTTGATGTAGACTCTCTGATTGGCTACGATCTTAAAACAGGGGCGGGGTGCCCATCTCCATCATGAAAAGCACACGATTACAACTTTTATAATGTTGCCATCTTCCAAAAATCTACTTTGTTCAAATTGGATTTGCAACTCCTAATACAAGCGCAGATATATTTTTATAAATTGGTGGATGTTGTATGACTATCTCCACATCATGCATATTGAAATGCGATGCGTTTCTCCATAGTCATAGTACAAGTTGTCAGGCATTTTGTTAATGTTGCAGCCATGCATGTGTATGTCATAAACCAATATAAAATGCTTACCACTTTCGCTTTCAAATAGTCGTTTTATCTGTAGCTCTATTTACCTAACTGCGATTGCCAGAATAAATAGTAGTATGCTAATATACCATCTAGCTAACATTCATTTTGTCAATCTGCAATTTCTACATGTTTTGAAGAAGTATCTGTAAACGAGTAAGTTACTTGAACGAACATGTAAACACCGACACTGCTCTCAAACGCCAACCCGCTATATAAGGCCCACCGCCTAAATAGATAGCTAGCTGATATTTCTACATTTCTTTCTTAATTTGTGTGTATTGTTAGGTATTTCACTGTTGGAGCTAGAAACACAAGCATTTCGCTGCACCTGCGACAACATCTGCAAAATCTATATAACGTACGCAACCAATAACATTTGATTTGAGTGGAACCATTACACAAAAAGTAGCTAGCTTGTGCGTGGGAGCATAGGTGTTGGCTAGCTAGCTACTAGCTAACTGTCTATCATCCGACTGGCGATCGTTGCCCCTCCCGTTTCCGATCTGAATCTCTTGCTAGTTAGCTAACGTTAGGTAGCTGGTGTTAGCTAATTTAGCTAGCTAATAATCTGAATGTAGCCTCGCGCACCAGTCCAGCAACCGGAGGAGGCCAGGGTCGAGTGACAACTGGAGGTATTAGCAGTGGCTAACAACTAACGAAGCTAACAAACTGAACTGGCTGGGTAACTAACGTTAGCCAGTAGCTAGCTGAGCCAACTAATATGTTTCTGCCAGTGAACATGAACCGTAGTTAGCGATATGGCCAACAGCCTAAAACAAATATAACTTTACCAGCCTAGGCAAAGCGAAAGCTAGCTAGTAGCTAGGTACTGGTAAGCAGTCCTTCGCTATAGCCGGCAGCGCGGTATACGTACAGGAGCGCCCCCTCTGGTAGATGACAGGTTGAGCTCAGCTAGCTAAATTACAAAATTCACGGGACCATAAACATCAACCACAGGGATTCAATCAAACAATGCATGCGCATATTTTTTTCTATGTTGCATTTGATTCTTTCCAAATTCACTAGCTACTAACTCAATATTGATATGAGTGTAGCCTGCAGTGGTGACTCGTCATTCAGGGCATTAATACGTGTCACATATCAGTTTGCAAACAATGTAAAATAAATACATTATTGAGTTAATAAAGCCGCATACAAACATGGGCTCTTTTTTTGCTTTCTTGAGTAAGGCAGTTCCAAAATGCAGGTGTTTCAGCCTAGCTCAGTATTTTCTGTGGTGGTGGGGCAGCCAGCGGAAAATACGGAGCGCAGGGGTTGGTGATGTTCTCTAGTTGTGCTGTGATTGGCTCAGTGTTCTGCCACTCATGGGGATACTACGTTACCGCAAAATCTACGGGGAGAGCTCGAAAATTCAAGCCCCTTGGGTGCTGCCTTAGAGTTACATTAGAAGTGCCCATCCAAGAAGGCTCCAGGTCGTTGGCCACAGATAAAAGGACGTCAAATCACGTTATATCTACAGTAGCTTTGATTGGACTGATCATGTCAACATCATACTTTCAAAATCTTAGCTAGCAAGCTAGCAGTCATCATCATGAATCAAGTCGACAATCTACTGGCAAATCCTTTTCAATCCTTGTCATATGAAGAGAAATTATGAAGAGAAAGTATAGCTAAAATGTATCGGTGCTCATCGGCCATTGGACATAAACATTACAAAACAAGTTGGAAATCGCTAATTCAACAATGAGTGGTTTGGAAGGAATCAGTGGCTAACTGCAAGCATTGCAAAGTAATCACTAGCCTGCTATTCAGTGGAGTGCATGTGTGGTCCAAGTCTGGGTTTAAGGGTCTCTTTTCCAAGCTTAAAAGGATAAACGTTCAACATTGGCCATGCTGTCAATCCAGCATGATTTCTGCCGCTTTCAAAACAACTGGAAACTCGGAACTAGGTAATCTGACTTCAGTGAGTTCAAGACAACTGGGAACTCTGAAAAAAACGAGCTCTGACTGGGAAAATACGTTTTGAACGGTCATCCAACTCAGAATTCCAAGTCGGGAACTCAGGCCTCTTTCTAGAGCTCTGACCTGAAGATCACCAACGTCATGATTCAACCTTGTTTTTTTTCAGAGTTCCCAGTTCTCTTGAAAGCACCATAAATCCAGAGAATGCCAGACTTTGATTACAAAGTTTGATGACAAAATTTGCCCACGATGGACCGCCGCAACCCTTTCCTGTTCAAGTGAGCACAGCACAACAAGGTGAGTCCAAAAATGTATTGTATGCTGCTACATTAATTATATAATATGCCAGGGAGATATGTATACAGCAGCTAAGAAAGTAATACTAAGTGTATGTGTTGTGTAGTAAGCGGTTAGTAGCCCATGTGCCTCACCCTAATAATTTGGTCCTTTTTTCTTTTCCCTTCATGTAGCCTACAGCCTGTTTTAGAGAAATGTCATCATCGAATATTGTAAGAGCTTTCATTGTCTGCTTATAGCAAATCAAATCAAATTTTATTTGTCACATGCGCCGAATACAACAAGTGTAGACCTTACAGTGAAATGCTTACTTACAAGCCCTTAACCAACAATGCAGTTTTAAGAAAGAATACCCCCCAAAAAATAAGAAATAAAAGTAACAAATAATTAAAGAGCAGCAGTAAAATAACAATAGTAAAATAACAATAGCGAGGCTATATACATGGGATACTGGCACAGAGTCAATGTGCGGGAGCACCGGTTATTCGAGGTAATTGGGGGGGAGGGGCACTGCAAATAGTCTGGGTAGCCATTTGATTAGATGTTCAGGAGTCTTATGGCTTGTGGGTAGAAACTGTTTAGAAGCCTCTTGGACCTAGACTTGGTGATCCGGTACCGCTTGCCGTGTGGTAGCAGAGAGAACAGTCTATGAATAGAGTGGCTGGAGTCTTTGACAGTTTTTAGGGCCTTCCTCTGACACCGCCTGCTATAGAGGTCCTGGATGGCAGAAAGCTTGGGCCCAGTGATGTACTGGGCCGTACGCACTACCCTCTGTAGTGCCTTGCGGTCGGAGGCCGAGCAGTTGCCATACCAGGCAGTGATGCAACCAGTCAGGATGCTCTCGATGGTGCAGCTGTAAAACCTTTTGAGGATCTGAGGACCCATGCCAAATCTTTTCAGTCTCTTGAGGGGTAATAGGTTTTGTCGTGCCCTCTTCATGACTGTCTTGGTGTGCTTGCACCATGTTAGTTTGTTGGTGATGTGGACACCAAGGAACATGAAGCTCTCAACCTGCTCCACTACAGCCCCGTCAATGAGAATAGGGGCGTGATCTGTCCTCTTCTTTTTCCTGTAGACCACAATCATCTCCGTATATGCCCCTTTATTTATCCTACGGTTCTGACTTGGTGTACAGGGAGAAAACTGTAAGAACGGCCTATGCTCTGAATTCTGTCGCTGTACATTTTAAAAGTGCTGAACAAATAGTTGTATTGACTACGTCCGTCCTAGCTCGCTCATTAATGTCTTAATCTAAATTACGGATTGCCTCTTATCCGCTCGTCGTCCCCTTATGCCATAGTTTGTACATCTCAATTGTCAGTAGAAACCACATTTGTTTAAGCAAGTCAGCCATATCAGCTATGTTTTTTTGAAAGGCAATAAATGAGGCTGACTGAACTGTTTCGCTGCCAGGCAAGGCTCCGCTGATAGCCAGGTGTAACAGTGGTAAGGTGTTGGGACTGCTGTTGGGACTCTGCTGTTGGGACAGTTTTATGTAGGCCCTAACAGTTTCTGGTCACCGTTATAGTCCAATTAATGTATTGTTTAGTGTAGTGTTGTGTAGTGGCTTTGCTGGCATGCATCTAAAACATTTTTTTCAAGTTTGCCCCACCAAGATTTACATGCTAATATCGCCACTGGTAACCTGCCAATCAAAGTGTTTGACAACGTCAACAATATGATTACTAGAGTTTTTGTAATAGTGAAATAACTTACATAATTATGAATAATTAGCCAATGCAAAATCTAGCTATAGCTTTTTGTCCTATTTGCCTTGACTATCGCTCTTTTAAAATGGTGGCTTTTACAATAGGCCAGTAGGTGGCACTCTAGGTCCTACCCATACCTCAGTGGGTCATACCCATAGACTTGGTCCTACCATGTGTCATCATAACAATAGTTGAAGTAGTAGTACACTCAAATACAGGGAGAGCACGCCACTACTGCTACCAATGTCGAAATTGAGGGGGAAGCAGCTGGACCAGGGCTTGGACAATCTCACTGGACCAGAGCTAGACAAGCTCTGTCATTAAGTTGTTCTCTTGACAAATACAGAGTATACAAAACATTAAGAACACCTGCTCTTTTCATGAAATAGACTGACCAGGTGAATCCAGGTGAAAGCTATGATCCCTTATTGCTGTTCCTTGTTAAATCCAATTCAATCAGTGTAGATGAAGGGGAGGAGACAGTTGGGCATCTCTGGCGCTGCTCACTCTTGGATCGCGTCCTACCTGACAGGTCGCTCCTACCAGGTGGCGTGGGGAGAATCTGTCTCCGCACCACGTGCTCTCACCACTGGTGTCCCCCAGGGCTCAGTTCTAGGCCATCTCCTATTCTCTCTATACACCAAGTCACTTGGCTCTGTCATATCCTCACGTGGTCTATCCTATCATTGCTACACAGACGACACACAATTAATTTTCTCCTTTCCCCCTTCTGATAACCAGGTGGCGAATCGCATCTCTGCATGTCTGGCAGACATATCAGTGTGGATGTCGGATCACCACCTCAAGCTGAACCTCGGCAAGACGGAGCTGCTCTTCCTCCCGGGGAAGGACTGCCCGCTCCATGATCTCGCCATCACGGTTGACAACTCCATTGTGTCCTCCTCCCAGAGTGCAAAGAACCTTGGCGTGACCCTGGACAACACCCTGTCGTTCTCCGCTAACATCAAAGCGGTGACCCGATCCTTCAGGTTCATGCTCTACAACATTTGCAGAGTACGACCCTACCTTACACAGAAAGCGGCACAGGTCCTTATCCAGGCACTTGTCATCTCCCGTCTGGATTACTGCAACTCGCTGTTGGCTGGGCTCCCTGCCTGTGCCATTAAACCCCTACAACTTATCCAGAACGCTGCAGCCCGTCTGGTGTTCAACCTTCCCAAGTTCTCTCATGTCACCCCGCTCCTCCGCACACTCCACTGGCTTCCAGTTGAAGCTCGCATCTACTACAAAACCATGGTGCTTGCCCACGGAGCTGTGAGGGGAATGGCACCTCCTTACCTTCAGGCTCTGATCCTACACCCAAACAAGGGCACTACGTTCATCCACCTCTGGCCTGCTAGCCCCCCTACCTCTACGGAAACACAGTTCCCGCTCAGCCCAGTCAAAGCTATTCGCTGCTCTGGCACCCCAATGGTGGAACAAGCTCCCCCACGACGCCAGGACAGCGGAGTCACTGACCACCCTCCGGAGACACTTGAAACCCTACCTCTTTAAAGAATACCTGGAATAGTATAACAGTAATCCTTCTACCCCCCCTCAAAGTGCCTTTGAATAGGATATGGTAGTAGGTGCCAGGCGCACCGGTTTGTGTCAAGAACTGCAACGCTGCTGGGTTTTTCACGCTCAACAGTTTCCTGTGTGTATCAAGAATGGTCCACCACTCAAAGGACATCCAGCCAACTTGACACAACTGTAGGAGGCATTGGAGTCAACATGGGCCAGCATCCCTGTGGAACGCTTTCGACACCTTGTAGAGTCCATGCCCAGGCGAATTGAGGCTGTTCTGAGGGCAAAAGGGGGGTGGGGGAGTGCAACTCAATATTAGGAATGTGTTCCTAATGTTTGGTGTAGTCAGTGTATAAAGACACCACACAATCCCACTGCAATGAATTTTCAAGGAGGAGAACCATAGTAGTGCCAGACTAGTGGTGCACCATTGACTGTTTATTAAGGGAGTAGTTCTGGTTTAATCTGGCTATAAGACTTTAAACCTCCTATGTAAGATACTTAGACCTATTCATAGCCACTCGATCTGTATCACTACTCGTGCTGTAACAACATTCAAAGCAACACAGTTCAAGAAGAAGAGCCAGACTCGCTAAGCTCAGGATTTACAAGGCTAAGTTGTCTGGTCTGGGGTAGTCAAACTGTTCTGGCAACAAGAGCTGATAAGATGTGGAAAGAGTTGACGAAAAACCAGCTAGTCAAGTACGGCGCTGTGACCACAGTGACAACCATATGTAAGTCACAGCTCTACTGCTTTGCAAGTTATCTTGATGTATTGTGTGTGGGTCTCAGACCTCGTTTCAATTACTTTTACAGTTTTCTATAATGGTAATATTGTTCTAACATTTCTACATGGGAATATATGCTAGGGGAATAGTAGCCTAATTTCAACAAAGGTTAACACTACTAAACCACCAACAGAGTATATTGTATTTCAAAACTGACTGCATGAAGTATGTTGTGCCATGTTGTGACATACAGGATGTAAAAGTCTTCAGATTGTACATGTTTCTTGACTTACATGAAAATCAACAGAATCACTGAAGCATGACTGACCGTGGTATGTGGTAATGCTTGATTGTAGTGTCTATTTAAGGTTTGTGATTTGTAACGTGTTCACTCCCTGTAGCTCCAAGATCCTGATGTATACTGTTATGTGTGTAAAGGCTTTACAATTGCACATACAGCATATGCTACCTTTTCAATGAAGTATGTTAACAATTCCTACTTCCAAAACAAAGGATATTTTACGCAGACTTGAAAAATGTTAAGCCAGGATTAAATCTTGTTTGGTTGAGAGATTTTAATTGTGGTAGATTAGGGCTTGTGAAATTCCTCCCATATGGAACCAGTCCAGTGTCTTTTGAACTGTTGTCTTAACAGCACTTCTCTATTGGACTGTAACTGTGTGTCGACCCCATACTTTTTTTTGCCCTCGGTTGCTCTATCTTTCCCTGTCCATGGATTGATCACATTGGTGCTCCAAAATAAGGATGTTTACTCTTCCACATGTTCCACATATAGTCCCAGGATTAAAAGTGACGAGTAGCAAAAGCATTGTGGGCCAATGTGACCAATGACCATGCTTTCTATTCCCATGAGAGAGGTGGCCGTCCTGTCAGTTCTTACACAATCAACAGGTAGGGTGCCTCTAGTGGAAGGTACATAGGTCAACATAAAAAGAAGTAAGAGTGATATTTTGGCTCAGTGGCGTTTGTCTCCAAACCAGGCTATGTTTTACTGCGAAAGTGGATCGCTGGTGGGGTATGCCGCAGCCATGCCAAACTGCATGGAAGGACTGTGGTGATCACTGGTGCCAACACTGGCATCGGCAAGGAGACGGCCTGGGATATGGCCATGAGAGGTACAGTAGGCATGTGGCACTTCTCTATTGGACTGTACTGTAACTGTTTTGTGATTTACATTACCTTTCATGGGATGTCCCTTTTGGACACGAACAAGTTCCAATGCAATCTGAGAAAAATTGGGATTTAAGGGCAACTGTGGGGGCTTTTCAATGGAAGTCCTGAGTATAGGAGGCTTAGCGATGGGGTGTGATAGATTGTTGATGTTGTTTAGCTGATGATAGGGCTGATCCTATATATTCTATTCGAGGGGAATGTGATGAGGGTGTTCTCAGACTGACGGTATTCTGTGTTCTCAGGAGCTCGGGTGATCATGGCTTGCCGAGACCTCACCAGGGGAGAAGCAGCTGCAGCAGAGATCCGCAGTTCCACAGGAAATACTAACGTGGTGGTGCAACAACTAGACCTGGCCTCCCTCGGGTCAGTACGTCAGTTTGCTCGGGAATTCATTGCCACAGAGACCCGTCTGGACATACTTATCAACAACGCAGGTGAGACTGATGCTTTTACCCAACATGCTTTGAGAGCCTGAAATGTGTTGATGTTGTCATTGAAGATCCTCCTTAATCTGGATATGCTTTGAACTATAGCATGTTTTTGGTTGGCAAAGTTGTGGGCTTGATCTTTTTAAAATCCTCTCCCTCTACTCCTCACAGGTATAATGCTGTGTCCCAAAAGCCTCACAGTGGACGGTTTTGAGAGTCAATTTGCCGTCAATCACCTAGGTCACTTCCTATTGACCAATCTGCTCCTGGACATGCTGAAAGCCTCAACCCCCAGCCGCGTCATCAATGTGTCTAGCATCGCTCATCAAGGCGGTAAGCCCATCCTGACCAGATATTATTATTATTATAATCAATTGAGTTATAGCTTTATCTGGCTCTACCTCGTCTTCTTTCAGGGAAAATCCACTTTGAAGACCTTAATTTTGATAAGAAGGGGTACAACTCAGTAATCGCCTATAAGCAGAGCAAACTGGCCAACCTCCTCTTCTCCAGGGAGCTGGCACGAAGGACCAAAGGTGACGGGTTGCCTTATTATAGCTCTATTACTCTATTACTACTCATATACATGTAGTTAGAAATTAGACAAATTCAAATGAATGAACCTAGTTATGTGTAGGAAATTAAGTAATGTAACTAGGGGATTTTTACATTTCCACTGCATATCCTGTTCAATGGCTAAATGTACTGTAATGGTAATGGACCCCAGCTCTTTAAATGGAAATACATTACCAATGGGCCATACCTTTGTTCGGGGTCAGAAAATAGATGCTTCAACACACAGGTCTACATTTATTGGTTAACAATCAAGTTGGATTTTACCATAGTTATGGATGGATTTTACCTTTTGAGGCCTTTGTCACAGAGTATTCATCAAGTATCATGGAGTTAACCATAAAGATAATCTGACCTTTGCAATTACAGTATTTCAGGATTCTTGACCTATTAATGATGTTGTGTCGTCCCCCCCCCCCCCCCCCCCCCCCCCCCACTCCCCCTCCCCATCAGTAGCAGTCTTAGTATGCACAACAAAAATTATACAAACAAATAATGTTGCTTCAAAATCAGGTTATAACTGGTGTACAGTACAGCGCTCCCTGCCACACGACGTCTCTGAATGTCCACATTCTAAGGTTAGTGGCCCCATCCCTACACTCACGCCATCAGGTACTGGAGTGACGTCATATTCCCTGCACCCTGGGGTTATCCGGACAGAGCTGTGGCGCCACTCGCAGTCAAAGTACCCCACGCTGAGTGCCATGCTGTCAGCCCCCGCCTGGCTCCTGATGAAGAACCCCAAGGAGGGGGCCCAGACCACCATCTACTGCGCCGTCACTGAGGGGCTGGAGGAGAAGAGTGGCTGCTACTTCAGGTACCACTTTGAGTTTAGCATCCCTGTATGTAGAGTGAATTAACCTGAATCAGTCTCTCTGTGTGTGTGTGTGTGTGTGTATTTGTGTGTTAATTGGAGGGGGATGATTTACATTTACAGTGGGAGTGTATTTTGTGTGTGCATGGAATGGTTAAGTATCCCATCAAGAGCATGTTTGTACGATGTGGTGTTTATTCTGAGTGTAGACAAAATAAATAGCTAGGTGTTTAAGTGAGCTTTAAGTTAACATGTGCTTGTTTCTCAGTGACTGTCAGGAGAAGGAGCCAGCTCCTGAGGGGAGAGATGATCTTGCAGCACTGAGACTATGGGGCGTTAGCGCCGGGCTAGTAGGACTCAATAAGAACAACTGAGCAACTCGCCTTGCTACATGGTGACACTCCCAACCCCACCTGCCAGAGCCCCCCGGATACTGCCATATTTATTTTAACGTTGGCTCTTAACTTTCATATCAGAAGGGTTATTGTGAGATATCCTGTTTTCTATATATATATATATATATATATATATATTGTGGGAAAATACACATTTTCTATATTGTGGGAAAAGACAAATGCATCAATGCTAGTATGATGTTTTATTATAATACAGTATGTTTGATCACTTTTTTTCTGTATTGCATTGTAGTTTATTATTGTTACAATGGTCTTCATGCTGTTGAATAGACTGACGAATGAAATAAAGTTCTGTTTTTTCATGTCTTCATAATTTTTTAAAAACTTTTGTTGTTTTGCTTAAGATGTCTTTGCTTGAGTAAGTGTAGTTTTATGAGTAGTAATTTTACACCCTAGTTATTTTATGCTTAGCTAAGCTACCTTTAAAAATGGTTACTTATAGGCCCTTTTCACGTGACGTCAGACAACTTCCGTTCTGCCGCGATGCAGGTTATGTTTACATCCGGTGTCGCTTAGGAACGCTTAGCTAGTAGCACATCATTATGGAGTTCACCCAGTCCCTTTCACATCTGCCACCAATACGACTTAACGACGTAGAACGACTTGCTGACAAGTGGTCCCTTACTTCAAGATCGAAGCTTGATAAAGGCTACAAGTTCTTCGTTGAAGGTTACCTGTTTGATTATGAAGGTACGTGTTTATCTTTATTTAGCTTAAATTAGCCCTATGCTAGCGAAGGTTATGAGCTGACGAGTTTCTGTTTTGCAGCCTCTTTTTAATATTACTGCTGTTTGTATCGACCGTAAGATAAGAGTCAGTAATGTATTAATGGCTAATGCTGCGCCCTTTCTCCCAATCACTGTATTGAAACAGTCTCAAGTGTAGTTAACGGTGAGGTGACAGTGAGAGGGCGATGTTACAGGTCCATGAAGAAAAATGAGGAGGCTCATCGGCTTCAGGTTTCTCAGATAAACAGTTCTCTAACATTATGATAAGATAGGTTAAGATAGATAAGTTTTCTTTTTGTTGTGTTTTGCTGCGGTTGCAGATTTAATAAGAATGATTCCACAAAGTTCCACTGTGGATCAGTTTGTTTCTCAGTCTGAGCTCTGATTTTGTATCATTAAACTTAATACACAATAATACATGGTTACTCTTATTTGTAATACTAACCAGGAGAAGGACGGCAGGCATAGTCGTGATCGTTTGTCACTGCAGGCAAAGCACCCTCTGTGCTGTCAGGCATCTCATGATCAGAATCATCCAGGACAGCAACACCAAGACGCTTTCTTGCTCGCTGGTAAACTGACTCCCGAGCTTGTGAGCCGCCTCCTATATGTGTGAAATTAACCATATGCTTGTCATGATACATTTTGGTAATCACTTTTCAGTCCCTAAAATGACAAAATGTAGCAGCTATATTGCATCAGGATTAAATTATTAAACATTTTGTACAAGTAATATATTATTGGATTACAGTAGTATTACGTTTAACGCTGTCTACCTATCCTTACCCCAATCATTCCAGTGGAATCTAGACGGCACTGATCCCTGTTTAATACGGATCCGTCCACTGGCCGATGTGTATCTATCCTCAGGGGGAAAGTGCTGACTGCAAACAAAGGTGCTCCCACGAAGAATCTTAAAACTTGGTCCCTCATCTCTCCTGATCGCCCTCACCCAACGGGCACGTATTTCTCCATCAACAGGGAAATCGTGAAAACTCAGATACGGGAATTTCTGTTTGTTGTTTGAACAAAATGGTACACTGCAATAGCATCTTCTCGAAGATTGTGCCATGCTTCGGTGTTGGATGGGATACTGTTGCGATACAGACACCGGGAGAAAAGAAACAGCTAAATAAACATTCAGCTTTGACCAGGAATCAATATTTATCTAGCTATCATGCACAACAGTATTTGAATAGGTGAGTTACTATACATTCATGAATAAACTAACTGCCTAACAAAGGGTTAGATAGCTAGCTAAGTAAACTTGTTACATTACAGCCAGGCAGCAATGTAACGCTACCTTTTAACGTTATCGGTATCTGGTACTAAGTTGTTGTTAGCTAACGTTAGCCCACTTTTAAGTAACTAAGGCAGTGAACAATTATGAATTAACAATAACGTTAGCAAGTTACAAACCATTGCATATACGTAAACATTATTACTCTTAACTTTACTAATTTAACTTAAACGTACCTTTTGGAATTTCTTCAAGTAGCTAGCTTGCTAGTTAGTGGTCAACAGTTGTATTTTCGTTGAGAAGTCTCAGGTTACGGGCGAACGGAAGTGAAGTTAACCTGCTACGCGGAAAGGCGGAAGTTAGATGACGTCATCGTGAAAAGGGCCTATTTTAAAGACTGTAATAAATTATATGCCTATTTGTACATCTCAATATTTAGCAATGTTTTCAGAAGTTGCTAAATACCAAGATATCTCTTTCATTTGAATGGTTTGCCCTTACCAAAAACGCGTCCTCGTCGTGAAACAATTAGCGGTGCATTGTGGGATATAACAAACACATGCTGACTTCGGATCAGTGAAATGCATGCTCAGTTAATGCCTTTGCCTGTGCTTTTGTTCTACAAACTGGTCCTGGATCAGTTACACTCTTCAGTAGACCAATTCTTCACCCGGAAATGTATCTCGAGGTTCATTTCGAAGCAGACAGCTGTAGCTGTAACCAACCTCAGCTGAAAATTTGTCAACAATAGTTTAATTTGACCAAACGAATTGAAGCGTTACCTAGTGTAAGAGACCTTTACCGAATATAATTCGGCCTTTGGGTATTTTTCAAGCTGCCATCATTAGCATTTTAGAACATTGTCAAAATGAATGTGACACTTGCTGTCAAGCAGTATATCTCCAAAATGATAGAAAACAGCGGACCAGGAATGAAGGTTCTGCTCATGGATAAAGAGACGGTAAGTAATGTAGCTAGAATGGTTACAATGTAGTGGTTCTAACGATGTACAGTGGTTACAATGTATCAGGTTACTTTAGTTGATATGCATTTTCTATCAGAGACAGACACATTGAAGGAAAATAACCTTGAATTATTCAACAATTCCTGAGAAATGTTAATAATATAGATAGGAGAACCAAGTTTTTGATAATGTCATACTGTCAGCAGCTACTTCCATTGGAAGATGCATAGGAAAAACAGAGGTGGATACAAAAATGTGGATAGGCCTGCATAATCTGGACTCAAGACCATATTCAGGACTGTAACCTTTCAGCTGTCACAAACAGTCACTGAAGGAAAATAATGAATCTCATTCATCTCTCAGCAAAATCTCTGGCTCATGTAGAAGGGAATTTACTGCATCACATGCCTATTTTTTTGTGTTTGTCTCATCAGACCAGCATCGTCAGTATGGTCTACACTCAATCTGAGATCCTACAGAAGGAGGTCTACCTGTTCGAAAGAATCGACTCACAGAATCGAGAGAACATGAAGCACCTCAAAGCCATCTGCTTCCTCAGGCCAACCAAGGTGCCCCAGTCACTGTATACACATTGTAGTCAGCCTTTGCTCTGCAAGTATGAAAAAAATGTATGCACTCACTAACTGTAAGTCGCTCTGGATAAAATCGTCTGCTAAATTACTAAAATGTAAAATTAAAGGTCCAATGCATCTGTTTTTATCTCCATATCAAATAATATCTGGGTAACAATTAAGTAACTTACTGTGATTGTTTTCAATGAAAATGGAAAAAAATAATTTAAAAAAATAGCTTCTTACCATATTCTCAAGCAGGGCAATTTATCAAGCATGAATTTTGCTTGGACTGTCTCAGTGGTCTGAGTGGGGAGGGGAAAACTGAAAATGAGCTGTTATTGGCAGAGAGGTTTGGAACTTTCTTATTGGTCTATTAACTAATTTACTGCATGATGATGTCACCATGGAAGGCCAAAACTCCATCCCACCAAAACAGACAGGTGGTCTTTTCAAACAGCTCTTACACTAAATGGGATCATCATCTTTTTCACAATTTCACAGTATTATTCCAACCTCATAGTGTGGAAACACAGGAAAATCATGTTTTTGACTGCACTGGGACTTTAAGACTTTGTATTCTACACACTCTGTATCTACTGGATTGTGTCCATCCACAACTGTATGAATGCATATTTCAACTGCTTCATTGTACCTATACCGAATGTACACTGTGCATATTGCATTGCATCCACACACTATGCACTATTTGGAGGCAAAGGACTTTAGTCGTGGTCAGTTTTGGATTTGTATGACACCCCTGACTTTCTCTCTGCCCTCTTTATAGGAGAATGTGGAAAATCTGATACAGGAGCTCCGGCGACCCAAGTACAGTGTCTACTTCATCTGTAAGGACTTCTGCACTCTTGTTCAAATCATATGGTTCACTGTTCTGATTCTTGTGCATGTTTTTAGATCAAATACAGATAACAAGGACTAAGATTTTATGTCCCTGGATTGTTTATATGGTTTAGACCTATAGACTCAAAATTGATTGCCCATGCATCAACAGTGAATTTTGACAACTCAGCAATTTCATGGTGACGGCAGTTTCCCATACAGAAAAAGTATATATTGACACATATTTTAACTACATGTATGTAAATTACAGATATCTCAATATTTAAATATTATATTATATTATAAACCACAATTGAGTTGTGTTATAACAGGGGGGGGCAAACACTTTTTCACACAGGGCCATGTAGCTTTGGATTTTGTTTTCCCTTAATAATAACAACCTTCATTTCAAAACTGCATTTTGTGTTTACTTGTGTTATCTGTGACTAATATTTAAATTTGTTTGATGATCTGAAACATTTAAGTGTGACAAACATGCAAACAAATAACAAATCAGAAATCAGGAAGGGGGCAAACACTTTTTCACACCACTGTACATTAGAGTGTCTAGTTTGAGAAACAGACGCCTCACAGGTCCTCAACTGGCAGCTTCATTAAATATTACCCGTAAAACACCAGTCTAAACATCAACAGTGAAGCGGCGACTCCAGGATGCTGAACTTTTAGGCAGAGTTGCAAAGAAAAAGCCAAATCTCAGACTGGCCAATAAAAAGAAAAGATTAAGATGGGCAGTCTGAAAAATGGCTTTTTCTGTATGGGTGACATCCTCCTCATAATCCTTTCTAGACTTCAGCAACGTCATCAGTAAGAGTGAGATAAAAGCCCTGGCCGAGGCAGATGAACAGGAGGTGGTCGCAGAAGTGCAGGTAAATTAACACTAACGGCAGTACTATAGGACAGGATCCATCAGTTAGGTACCCAACATTTCTTTTGTTTTCTTTTGTACTATTCTGGGCTTTTCTTTTTATTGTTTTTTGGTAGAATTATGATCCATAGGTTTTTCCTACTAGTCCTAAATCAAAATGTATCATTTATATTTCTAGTTATAACTACTTTACAGTACATGTGGTATTGTACTAGCCAGGTAATAGTATACATGAGTATGTGATATCCTTTGACATTTAAACTGGAAACTAATAACTCAATTTCTCTCTCATATGACTGCAGGAGTTCTATGGAGACTTCATTGCTGTGAACCCACACCTTTTCTCCCTCAACCTCAGTGGTGTGGCAAAGGTAAGACATGCAAATATGCCATGACGCTTTGGATATGTGACAATTTATAAAGTGGTTCATTATTCATCTGCATTGATTTTAGATTAACGTTTTATATTTGTCTCTGCATATGTCATACTCCCTCTGTATTTTGGATATATTTAAAGAGTGCATTCATATCTCATACTGTGTGTGTGTGTGTGGTGTGTGTATTGCAGGGTCGTAGCTGGGAGCCGACTCTCTTGCCACGTACCACCCAGGGTCTGACCTCGGTGCTGCTGGCCCTGAGGAAATGTCCCATGATCCGCTACCAGCTGTCCTCAGACATGGCCAAGCGACTGGGAGAGAGCGTGAAGGTATTAATATCACATGCACACCTATCACACGCACACACACGCGCAATCTCACTACCCATCTCCTCCCCCAGCAAATCATCACCAAGGAGTATGAGCTGTTTGACTTCAGGAAGACAGAGGTGCCTCCTCTCCTGCTCATCTTGGACCGCAGCGATGACGCCATCACCCCACTACTCAACCAGGTCAGAACTAAGAGTCAGGGTGATGACGCCATTATCCCACTACTCAACCAGGTCAGAACTAAGAGTCAGGGTGATGACGCCATCATCCCACTACTCAACCAGGTCAGAACTAAGAGTCAGGGTGATGACACCATCACCCCACTACTCAACCAGGTCAGAACTAAGAGTCAGGGTGATGCTCCAAAACTAAGTGAAACTAAGTGTTATCTGAATTTATTTTTGGGAACTATTAGTCAGAAAATGGGGTGGTGCACAATTGGCCCAGCTACGTCCAGGGTAGGGGAGGGAATGGCCGGCAGGGATGTAGCTCAGTTGGTAGTGCATGGCGTTTGTAACGCCAGGGTTGTGGGTTCGATTCCCACGGGGGCCAGTATGAAAAAAATAAAATACAAATAATGTATGCACTCACTAACTGTAAGTCGCTCTGGATAAGAGCGTCTGCTAAATGACTAAAATCTAAAATACATTTCTAAGATAATCTACCTAGATAATATATGTTTGGTATACATGTTTTCTAGCCTGGGACCAGACTGAGCATTTTATCAGTCGGGAACCCAGGCTACATTTCTACAAAAAGATAGGCAATGACCAGGTCATTATAGTCATACTACATACAGTGGCTTGCGAAATAATTCACTCCCTTTGGCATTTTTCCTATTTTGTTGCCTTATAACCTGGAATTAAAATGGAGTTTTGTATCATTTGATTTACACAACATGCCTACCACTTTGAAGATGCAAAATATTATTTTCTGGTGAAACAAACAAGAAATAAGACAAAAGAACTGAAAACTTGAGTGTGCATAACTATTCACCCCCCTGAAAGTCAATACTTTGGAGAGCCACTTTTTGCAGCAATTACAGCTGCAAGTCTCATGGGGTATGTCTATATAAACTTGGCACATCTAGCCACTGGGATTTTTGCCCATTCTTCAAGGCAAAACTGCTCCAGCTCCTTCAAGTTGGATGGGTTCCGCTGGTGTACAGCAATCCTTAAGTCATACCACAGATTCTCAATTGAATTGAGGTCTGGGCTTTGACTAGGCCATTCCAAGACATTTAAATGTTTCCCCTTAAACCACTCGAGTGATGCTTTAGCAGTATGCTTAGGGTCATTGTCCTGCTGGAAGGTGAACCACCGTCCCAGTCTCAAATCTCTGGAAGACTGAAACAGGTTTCCCTCAAGAATTTCCCTGTATTTAGCGCCATCCATAATGCCTTCAATTCTGACCAGTTTCCCAGTCCCTGCCGATGAAAAACATCCCCACAGCATGATGCTGCCACCACCATGCTTCACTGTGGGGATGGTGTTCTCGGGGTGATGAGAGGTGTTGGGTTTGCGCCAGACATAGCGTTTTCCTTGATGGCCAAAAAGCTCAATTTTAGTCTCATCTGACCAGAGTACCTTCTTCCATATGTTTGGGGAGTCTCCCACATGCCTTTTGGCGAACACCAAACTTGTTTGCTTATTTTTTTCTTTTAGCAATGGCTTTTTTCTGGCCACTCTTCCGTAAAGCCCAGCTCTGTGGAGTGCATGGCTTAAAGTGGTCCTTTGGACAGATACTCCAATCTCCGCTGTGGAGCTTTTCAGATCCTTCAGGGTTATCTTTGGTCTCTTTGTTGGCTCTCTGATTAATGCCCTCCTTGCCTGGTCCGTGAGTTTTGGTGGGTGGCCCTCTCTTGGCAGGTTTGTTGTGGTGCCATATTCATTCAATTTTTTAATAATAGATTTATTGGTGCTCCGTGGAATGTTCAAAGTTTCTGATATTTTTTTATAACCCAACCCTGATCTGTACTTCTTCCACAGCTTTGGCCCTGACCTGTTTGGAGAGCTCCTTGGTCTTCATGGTGCCGCTTGCTTGGTGGTGCCCCTTGCTTAGTGGTGTTGCAAACTCTGGGGCCTTTCAGAACAGGTGTATATATATACTTAGATCATGTGACAGATCATGTGACACTTAGATTGCACACAGGTGGACTTTATTTAACTAATTGTGTGACTTCTGAAGGTAATTGGTTGCACCAGATCTTATTTAGGGGCTTCATAGCAAAGGGGGTGAATACGTATGCACGCACCAGTTTTCCGTTATTTATTTTTTAGTATTTTTTTAAACAAGTTATTTTTTTCATTTCACTTCACCAATTTGGACTATTTTGTGTATGTCCATTACATGAAATCCAAATAAAAATCAATTTAAATTACAGGTTGTAATGCAACAAAATAGGAAAACCGCCAAGGGGGATGAATACAAGTCACATACAGTATATTCACATCATTCTGATGTGTACTGCAGCCTCTGATCACTTGGGGGCAGCAGAGTCTTATACTTACATTTACCAAGCCTGCAACTTGTACTGTAAACTAGGTCATGTACTCAAGGCCCTTTGTGTCACAGGTACATTTGAGTCATTTAGCAGACGCTCTTATCCAGAGCGACTTACAGGAGCAATTAGGGTTAAGTGCCTTGCTCAAGGGCACATCGACAGATTTTTCACCTAGTCGGCTCGGGGATTAGAACCAGCGACCTTTCAGTTACTGGCACAACGCTCTTAACCACTAAGCTACCTGCCGCCCTAATGCACCAATCTTTAGCGCACATTAGACAAGCTAATGAATTGGTAAAAACCACATACACTCTTCATCGCTGAATGAAATTAGAGATGACCTTACCTTTATTTTGTAGGTTTAATTGTTTTGGTTTAATTGTTTGTTGCCGTGCTCCCTCTAGTGGACGTACCAGGCCATGGTGCACGAGCTGCTTGGCCTCAACAACAACCGCATTGACCTGTCCCGAGTCCCAGGGATCAGCAAGGACCTGAAGGAGGTGGTGCTGTCTGCAGAGAACGATGAGTTCTATGCCAATGTGAGTCCCAGTCTCTAGGCCTGGTTCCAATTCTGCACAAAAGTGCCCTTTGGCTTTGAAACGGTCCAATTGGGCCGGCTGGCATCTAGCCTAGAGAAGGGTTCCCCAACTGGCGACCCACGGGCCAAATTTATTTTCTTAATGTTGGACATAAAAAACACTAGTATTTTAGCGGAAAGTGATTTTAATTTTGGAAATCTGTTCCAAAGTATTCCCATGCATAATAGAGAGATATGTGATCGTATACAACTGTAAGCAAGGCTTGAAATTATTATGTTTTAGTCAAATGTTATATCTATTTGGGCTTCTTGTGGTCAATTTGCAGTACACACATTTTTTTGAAATTATGTTCCGGCCCCCTGACCATCCACTCAAGAAAAACTCGGTTTGCGGCTTAATCGAGCTGATGATCCCTGGCCTAAAGGTTAGGACGGCTGGCCAGCAACCCTCTGTAAGAAGACTCTGAAGGAAAAAATCTGATGGAGTGTGTAGCGGCCGGTCAATGAGGGAAGGTTAAAGAATTCCAACAGGGCCAGACGTTGGCTGACAACTTCCAATTCACTCTCACATTCTCTTATTCAGAATCTATACCTGAACTTTGGAGAGATCGGCACAAACATCAAGAACCTGATGGAGGACTTTCAGAAGAAGAAGCCCAAGGAGCAACAGAAGCTGGAGTCCATCTCTGATATGAAGGTGAGAGCTGGGCACTGTTGTCCCACAGGAACTCAATTTCCCAGCATGTCCTGTAGGAGTTGCTCATTTAGGACCACTAACACATCTCAGCCTGGTTAATAACCACTCGCAATTAGAGAAATGATCTCTTAATTCCAATAATGATACAAACTATAAATAATTGCTGCAAGTTTAAGACACTCTTTCTGTTTTCTTTCTTTCTGTTTTTCTCTGCAGGCGTTTGTGGACAACTACCCCCAGTTCAAAAAGATGTCGGGCACAGTGTCGAAGCACGTGACTGTGGTGGGCGAGCTGTCTCGCCTGGTGAGCGAGAGGCACCTGATGGAGGTGTCAGAGGTGGAGCAGGAGCTGGCCTGCCAGAATGACCACTCAAGTGCATCACAGGTAAGACTCTGCTCTGGGGTTAAAGGGATACTTCAGGATTTTGGCAATGAGGTCCTTTATTTACTCTGTGTCCAGTATGAAGGAAGTTAGAGTTAGGTTTGCCAACCAATGCTAACTAGCGTTAGCGCAATGACTGGAAGTCTATGGGTATCTGCTAGCATGCAGAGACATAAAAATGGCATCCACAAGTTCATCTGACTCTGGTGAAGTGGATAAAGGGCCTCATTGACAAAATCCTGAAGTATCCCTTTAAGGCCAATTTTCACAATTCATACAGTAAAATTCAATTTGATTCAGGTATTGACCTTAATCACCATTTAGGAATTGTGAATTCGCCTTTTATTTCGAATTACAGTGCATTTGGAAAGTATTCAGAACCCTTGACTTTTTCCACATTTTGTTGCGTTACAGCCTTATTCTAAAATTGATTAAATCGTTTTTTCCCCTCATCAATCTACACACAATACCCCATAATGACAAAGCAAAAACAGGTTTTTAGAAATTTTTGCAAATGTATTAAAAATAAAACACTGACATGACATTTCCATAAGTATTGAGACCCTTTACTCAGTACTTTGAAGCACCTTTGGCAGCGATTACAGCCTCGAGTCTTCTTGGGTATGATGCTACAAGCTTGGCACACCTGTTTTTGGGGAGTTTCTCACATTCTTCTTTGCAGATCCTCTCAAGCTCTTTCAGGTTGGATGGGGAGCGTCACTGCTCAGCTATTTTCAGGTCTATCCAGAGATGTTCGATCGGGTTCAAGTCCGGGCTCTGGCTGCGCCACTCAAGGACATTCAGAGACTTGTCCCAAAGTCACTCATGCGTTGTCTTGGCTGTGTGCTTAGGGTCGTTGTCCTGTTGAAAGGTGAACCTTCGCCTCAGTCTGAGGTCTGTTCATCTTTCCCTCGATCCTGACTAGTTTCCCTGCCGCTGAAAAACATCTCCACAGCATGATGCTGCCACCACCATGCTTCACCGTAGAGGTGGTGCCAGGATTCCTCCAGACGTGACGCTTGACATTCAGGCCAAATAATTCAATCTTGGTTTCATCAGACCAGGGAATCTTGTTTCTCATGGTCTGAGAGTCCTTTAGGTGCCTTTTGGCAAACTCCAAGCGGGCTGTCATGTGCCTTTTACTGAGGAGTGGCTTCCATCTGGCCACTCTACCATAAAGGCCTGATTGGTGGAGTGCTGCAGAGATGGTTGTCCTTCTGGAAGGTTCTCCCATCTCCACTGAGGAACTCGTGAGCTCTATCAGAGTGACCATTGGGTTCTTGGTCACCTCCCTGACCAAGGCCCTTCTCCCCCGATTGCTCAGTTTGGCCGGGCGGCCAGCTCTATGAAGAGTCTTGGTGGTTCCAAACTTCTTCCATTTAAGAACGATGGAGGCCACTGTGTTCTTCGGGACCTTCAATGCCGCAGAAATGTTTTGGTACCCTTCCCCAAATCTGTGCCTCAACACAATCCTGTCTCGGAGCTCTACGGACAATTCCTTCGACCTCATGGCTTGGTTTTTGCTCTGACATGCACTGTCAACTATGGGACATTATATAGACAGGTGTGTGCCTTTCCAAATAATGTCCAATCAATTTAATTTACCACAGGTGGACTCCAATCAAGTTGTAGAAATATCTCAAGGATGATCAATGGAAACAGGATGCACCTGAGCTCAATTTCGAGTCTCATAGCAAAGGGTCTGACTACTTATGTAAATAAGGTATTTCTGTTTTTAATTTTTTTTATATTTGCAAACATTTCTGAAAACCTGTTTTCGCTTTGTCATTATGGGGTATTGTGTGTAGATTGATGAGGGGGAAAAATCATTTAATCCATTTTAGAATAAGGCTGTAACGTAACAAAGTGGAAAATGTGAAGGGGTCTGGAGACTTTCCGAATGCACTGTATTTTATTTTTCAATTTACCGGTAGGAAACACATTTCTATTATTACCAATAGAATTTCCTGAATTACCAATATAATTTCCTGAATTGGCTGTTGAAATTAATCAACACTCCAACCCAGCTCTGTAGTGACTTGGTGCCTGAGACTGACTAGAATCACACTACTAGATACTGTATGTAGATGAAACACAAGTCAAATATGAACCAGGCAGAGGCTAGACATTGACCAGACACAGGCCTGAAATAGACATGACATGTGGTAGTCAGGTAGACAAAGAGCAGGAACAAGACAGAACTGCCCAATATGTACAGTGAGGGAAAAAAGTATTTGATCCCCTGCTGATTTTGTACGTTTGTCCACTGACAAAGAAATGATCAGTCTATAATTTTAATGGTAGGTTTATTTTAACAGTGAGAGACAGAATAACAACAAAAACATCCAGAAAAACGCATGTCAAAAATTTTATAAATTGGTTTGCATTTTAATGAGGGAAATAAGTATTTGACCCCCTCTCAATCAGAAAGATTTCTGGGTCCCAGGTGTCTTTTATACAGGTAACGAGCTGAAATTAGGAGCACACTCTTAAAGGGCGTGCTCCTAATCTCAGCTTGTTACCTGTATAAAAGACACCTGTCCACAGAAGCAATCAATCAATCAGATTCCAAACTCTCCACCATGGCCAAGACCAAAGAGCTCTCCAAGGATGTCAGGGACAAGATTGTAGACCTACACAAGGCTGGAATGGGCTTCAAGACCATCGCCAAGCAGCTTGGTGAGAAGGTGACAACAGTTGGTGCGATTATTCGCAAACGGAAGAAACACAAAATAACTGTCAATCTCCCTCGGCCTGGGGCTCCATGCAAGATCTCACCTCGTGGAGTTGCAATGATCATGAGAACAGTGAGGAATCAGCCCAGAACTACACGGGAGGATCTTGTCAATGATCTCAAGGCAGCTGGGACCATAGTCACCAAGAAAACAATTGGTAACACACTACGCCGTGAAGGACTGAAATCCTGCAGCGCCTGCAAGGTCCCCCTGCTCAAGAAAGCACATATACAGGGCCGTCTGAAGTTTGCCAATGAACATCTGAATGATTCAGAGGAGAACTGGGTGAAAGTGTTGTGGACAGATGAGACCAAAATCGAGCTCTTTGGTATCAACTCAACTCGCCGTGTTTGGAGAAGGAGGAATGCTGCCTATGACCCCAAGAACACCATCCCCACCGTCAAACATGGAGGTGGAAACATTATGCTTTGGGGGTGTTTTTCTGCTAAGGGGACAGGACAACTTCACCGCATCAAAGGGACGATGGACGGGGCCATGTACCGTCAAATCTTGGGTGAGAACCTCCTTCCCTCAGCCAGGGCATTGAAAATGGGTCGTGGATGGGTATTCTAGCATGACAATGACCCAAAACACACGGCCAAGGCAACAAAGGAGTGGCTCAAGAAGAAGCACATTAAGTTCCTGGAGTGGCCTAGCCAGTCTCCAGACCTTAATCCCATAGAAAATCTGTGGAGGGAGCTGAAGGTTCGAGTTGCCAAACGTCAGGCTCGAAACCTTAATGACTTGGAGAAGATCTGCAAAAAGGAGTGGAACAAAATCCCTCCTGAGATGTGTGCAAACCTGGTGGCCAACTACAAGAAACTTCTGACCTCTGTGATTGCCAACAAGGGTTTTGCCACCAAGTACTAAGTCATGTTTTGCAGAGGGGTCAAATACTTATTTCCCTCATTAAAATGCAAATCAATTTATAACATTTTTGACATGCGTTTTTCTGGATTTTGTTGTTGTTATTCTGTCTCTCACTGTTCAAATAAACCTACCATTAAAATTATAGACTGATCATGTCTTTGTCAGTGGGCAAACGTACAAATACTTTTTTCCCTCACTGTAAATGTAGTATCACTGTCAACAATGCTTTATTATACCATAACATCAATAGTTCACATAAAAGCATAAAAGAATACACACATTTTCTCTGTACTTTGTGTTGGTTGAGGAAGAATACAGCCCACTGCTGTATTGTATATTGACTTGGCCACTTATAATAATAGTGACTTTCAGAATTCACTAAAACACTGCACATAGAAATAATAGTGAAGTAGCATTGAAAAAGAAATAATTTAAGTCTGTATTAAAGGCTATGTAAAATGTACTCCCTGTTTTTCCGCAGAACGTGCGTCGGCTGCTGCAGAACCCGCGGGTGAGCGAGCTGGACGCGGTGCGCCTGGTGATGCTGTACGCACTGCGCTACGAGAGACACAGCAGCAGCATCCTGCCGGGCCTCATGGAGGAGCTCAACAGGAAGGGCGTGTCAGAGAGGCATCGCAGGGTAAGGGAACATTCTATACTTTACCACTACCTGGCCCTTGGCAATATGAGGACTGTACCACTACCTGGCCCTTGGCAATATGAGGACTGTACCACTACCTGGCCCTTGGCAATATGAGGACTGTACCACCACCTGGCCCTTGGCAATATGAGGACTGTATACTACCTGGCCTTTGGCAATATGAGGACTGTACCACTACCTGGCCCATGGCAATATGAGGACTGTACCACTACCTGGCCTTTGGCAATATGAGGACTGTATACTGTTGTTGTACTTATATTATGTGGAGGATGTTATTATTTTGGGATTTGTCAATGCCTCTGTGAGGATAAATAAATATACGTTCAACTCAACAATGTACATACAGTATGCTTGATGTATCTGTCTCACCAATCTAGACCAGGTTTGAAGAATCAACGTATGCCTTTATCCTGTTTAACCGGCATATTTTACCTCAGATGGTAACGTCCATGGTGGAGTATGGAGGGAAGAGGGTGAGAGGAAGTGACCTCATCAACCCCCAAGATGCAGTCGCCATCACCAAACAGTTCTTCAAGGGGCTGAAGGTACACCATTCTCTCCACAATTTAGACAGATACTCGCTGGAGTTGTGTCCATCTCAACCAGATTCTAATAAAACACCTTTGTTTTGTGTGCGTGCGTGTCTCCAGGGAGTTGAGAATGTGTACACGCAGCATGCACCGTTACTGCAGGAGACCTTGGACCAGCTGATCAAGGGGCGGCTGAAGGACAGTCAGTTCCCCTACTTAGGACCCAGCTCCCTTAGAGACAGGTAGGGTGATGCACACACACACTTAAAGACACAACCTCAGACCCTACACCTGTATAGCCAAACACACACACTTCTACACAATGTTACTGATACGTAAAAACACATATTCTGTGTGTATGAGTACACATAGGCCTACAGTTCATCACCATTATTGGATTACCCTAACCAGATGCTAGCCTATCAGTGATAACCATGTATTTCCTCTTCAGGCCGCAGGATATCATAGTCTTCGTCATCGGAGGGGCCACCTATGAGGAGGCGCTAGCAATCTACAACCTGAACCGCAGCATGCCTGGGGTTCGGATCGTACTGGGCGGCACCACCATCCACAACACCAAGAGGTCAGAATCATCAACCGCTCCTCGTGACCTATTCAAATTACATCCAGACATAGCCATTAGACATCCATTATTTGATACCAGGTCAACACATATGATAAAAATGGCTTAACCCCCTAGGGTCAATGTTCCCGCCCCGTGGAAATCTAATTAGCATAAACCCCTGTCAAAATCCATATTTTAAAGATAGAGATATCTGTGTTTTGCATGGGCTGCGTCTCAATCCACTGCATCCGCCAATGGCGGCCTTCCACATCTGCGGTGGAAGGTGGCCAAGCTACAGCTGTGTTTGTCAGACCATGAGACATCCCGAAAATCGGTCTTCTCACGAATACGTCTGTAGCGTCCGAACAGTTTGGCCTAACTAATATGACCACTCTATGGACAGATGAGACTCTCCCGAACATGATGGTGTTCTCCGTTTTCCTCTACGACCCCACAAGCGTCACGGGACTCGTCTGAAGTCGGTACAGCCAATCTGTTAACGTCTGTCTGTAGCATCCGAACAGTTTGGGCTACACACGAATATGACCCCTCTATGGAAAGGTGAAACTTTCATAAACAAGACTCATCTGAAGGTAGCCCAGTACCAGTAAAACATTTTTATGGACGTATAAACTGAGTGTACAGAACATTAGGAACACCTTCCTAATATTGAGTTGCACCCCCTTTTGCCCTCAGAACAGCCTCAATTCGTCGGGGCATGGACTCTACAAGGTGTCAATTGTTCCACAGGGATGCTGGCCCATGTTGACTCTGCCAGTGCTTCCCACAGATGTGTCAAGTTGGCTGGATGTCCTTTGGGTGGTGGACCATTCTTGATACACACGGGAATCTGTTGAAAATGAAAAACCCAGTAGCGTTGCAGTTCTTGACACAAACCGGTGCGCCTGAAACCTAATGCCATACCCTGTTCAAAGGCACTTTAATCTTTTGTCTTGCCCATTCACCCTCTGAATGGCACACATACACAATCCATGTCTCTTAAAAATCCTTCTTTAACCTGTTTCCTCCCCTTCATCTACACTGATTGAAGTGGATTTAATAAGTGACATCAATAAGGGATGATAGCTTTCGCCTGGCTTCACCTGGTCAGTCTATCCTATTTGTAAGTCGCTCTGGATAAGAGCGTCTGCTAAATGACGTAAATGTAAATGTAAATATCATGGAAAGAGCAGGTGTTCATAATGTTTTTTACACTCAGTGTATATGGAAGTAGTTTAGTGCCAATTATTTTGTTAAATATGGGTAAAAAATATTTATAATAATTTCCTGATCTTTCTTATATGTCTCAGATATAGGACAGACAATTTAAAATAAACGTCCTTTTGATAAAACATTTTACTATATTTGTTCCGATGTATACATCTGTTATTCAATGCGTTTCTATGGGCTAATAGCAGTAAGGCCAAAGTCAATGTTTCATCATATATATATATATATATATATATATATATATATATATATATATATATATATATATATATATATATATATATATTTTTTTTTTTTTTTTAAATATATATACCTAAAGGGGTCCTAAAATTCAAAATCAAATAGCTAAATTATCCTTGGTATGACCATCTTAAAACAATTCCATATTTTAGTTTAGTAGAATTGAGTCCGGATCTTTTAAGACTGAGGCCAAGATACAGTGTAGAGAGACAGTGACAGGACTAAGACCAGTTTACAGCAAATGTGATCTCCGCAAACATCAGGGAAATTGCCATTAAAGGTCAATTGTTGAGTGCAGGCTATTCATCTGTGTTTGATTAAATTCTAACCTTACTCTAGGTTGGGGAAACAACCGTGGCAAATTGTCAAGTGTTGTTTTGCAATCGGCTTAGACGGCCACAGGTGTTTGGAATCTTTGACTTGGTGGTCCTTATTTGTTTTTTGTTCAGCTTATCGCGCACACGCTCACTCACCAAAGCTCTCTCCCATTCTTTCCCATGCTTGCTATGATAAGGCCATTTCCGAGAGACAAATGTGAATGACATCATCGTTCATTAGTGGTCATTCTGTCAGTTTCATGCACATGTTAATATGACCGAGCTTCTCCAGGACATTTAGGCCTGGACACAGCCTACTGAAGCTCACAACATATCCATTTGTCTGGCATTACCAATGTTGCAACTGAGGACAGATGATTTTTACGCACTTCAGCACTCGGCAGTCCCGTTCTGTGAGCTTGTGTTGCCTACGACTTCGCGGCTGAGCCGTTGTTGCTCATAGACGTTTCCACTTCAAAATAACAGCATTTACAGTTGACCGGGGCAGCTCTAGCAGGGCAGAAATTTGACGAACTGACTTGTTGGAAAGGTGGCATCCTATGACAGTGCCATGTTTAAAGTCACTGAGCTCTTCAGTAAGGCCATTCTACTGCCAATGTTTGTCTATGGAGATTGCATGGCTGTGTGCTCGATTTTATACACCTGTCAGCAACGGGTGTGGCTGAAATAGCCGAATCCACTAATTTGAAGGGGTGTCCACATACCTTTGTATGTACAGTGTAGGTTATAAGTAGGCCTTTTATAAAATAAATATTATTAGCCTATTGCTGTCATTTATTGGGGACTGTAGGCACTAGCCTTTCTTGGTAATTGCTGCAATATAGCCTGTTCAAAACTTTTTGTGAAGGTTTAAAACAGTTCATAAGTGTTTTGTTTCATTCTGTTGAGCCATTTTCTTTGGCCAAATTAAGTTCCAACTGTAATGTTGTGTTTGCCGTGATATAATATCCTGCTCATGCTTGACTTTTGATATTACCCTAATAAAGTTTAGAAACTTTTGTGAAGGTTTGGTGTGGTATGGCTATTAGCCTATTATACTGCAGGCCTATGATGTGAAGTCAGCGCTCCAACTGACTGACAGTTGAACTTGAGTTGAGGAAGAATGTTTTAGGCCTACCAGAGTTACTCCTATAATCTAACAATATAATGCTTATCTTTATTTAAAAATATTCTGATAGAAAAATAATGAATTAGCCTCCTTCTGTAATAGCAGATGCAGACGCCTATCTGACAAGGATAAAGAAATGCATGTTGGTGTCGTAGCATATCTCAATCTCTCTCTCTCTCTGGGGCTAGGTCTAAGCCTAAGCTTCTCTTCCTTTCATATATATATATTTTTTATATTAATATCATACAGTGGACGCCTAAGCCTATAGGCCTGTGCATGCAATGCCCTGTTGCATTTCATTCTAAAATCTCTGACAGCTGAACTGTGAGGTGGACAATTATTGTTTTAGGAAAGTAAAATCCAAGAAAACAATAAGCTATAAAGTTTTGCATATGCTGTTTTTAATGACATGTAAATGTCGCTCATTTGGCCAATATCCCTGATTTATTGATAGCACTGGCTGCATGGGTGAACACACTAATGCAGGGATCATCAACTCGATTAAGACAAGGGCCAATTTTCTTGAGCGGATGGTCGGGAGGCCAGAACATAATTACAAATCATTTGTAGACTGCAAATTGACTGTTTTTACAGTCTATTATGTCCAACAATGAAAAAAAAAATATATATATATACAGTACCAGTCAAAAGTTTGGACACACCTACTCATTCAAGGGTTTTTCATCACCAGTGATGGCCGATGGGCTCGTGCCAATATCTCATGATAAGCTATTTTGAAAAACAGTGCTGTTCGCTCAAAAGTTGAGAGAAATTGTTTTAGCTTCTACAGACAGATTACTCTTCTATTTTCAGCAGTAGGCATTTGCTTTCCAAACGGTAGGCCTACGCTTTTCTCGCGCTTTACACTGGGCCCCGTGTAGCTCAGTTGGTAGAGCATGGCGTTTGCAACGCCAGGGTTGTGGGTTCGATTCCCACGGGGGGCCAGTATGAAAAAATAAAAACTAATTAATTCTAAATAAAAAGCTGAAATGTCTTGAGTCAATAAAGATTTAACCCCTTTGTTATGGCAAGCATAAAAAAGTTCAGGACAAAAAATTTGTTTAACAAGTCACATAAGTTGCATGGACTGATTTTTTTTTTTTGACTACCTCATCTCTATACCCCACACATACAATTATCTGCAAGGTCCCTCAGTCAGCAGTGAATTTCAAACACAGATTCAACCACAAAGACCAGGGAGGTTTTCCATTGGCTCGCAAAGAAGGGCACCTATTGGAAGATGGGTAAACATTTAAAAAAGCAGACATTGAATATCCCTTTGAGCATGTTGAAGTTACTAATTACACTTTGGATGGTGTATCAATATACCCAGTCACTACAAAGATACAGGTGTCCTTCCTAACTCAGTTGCCGGAGAGGCAGGAAACCACTCAGGGATTTCACCATGAAGCCAATGGTGACTTTAAAAAAGTTACAGAGTTTAATGGCTGTGATAGGAGAAAACTGAGGATGGATCAACAACATTTTAGTTACTCCACAATACTAACCTAATTGACGGAGTGAAAAGAAGGAAGCCTGTACAGAATAAAAAATATTCCAAAACATGCATCCTGTTTGCAACAAGGCACTAAAGTAAAACTGCAAAAAATGTGGCAAAGCAATTCACTTTTTGTCCTGAATACAAAGTTTTATATTTGGGGCAAATTCAATACAACACATTACTGAGTACCGCTCTCCATATTTTCAAGCATAGTGTTGGCTGCATCATGTTATGGGTATGCTTGTAATCGTCAAGGACCGGGGAATTTTTCAAGATAAAAAAACTAAACAGAATGGAGCTAATCACAGGCAAAATCCTAGAGGAAAACCTGGTTCAGTCTGCTTTCCACCAGACACTGGGAGATTAATTCACCTTTCAGCAGGACAATAACCTAAAACACAAGACCAAATCTACACTGGAGATGCATACCAAGACGACATTGATTGTCCCTGAGTGGCCGAGTTACAGTTTTGACTTAAATCATCTTGAAAGTCTATGGCAAGACCTGAAAATGGTTGTCTAGCAATGATCAACAACCAACTTGACAGAGCTTGAAGAATTTTGAAAAGAATAATGGGCAAATGTTTCACAATCCAGGTGTGGAAAGCTCTTAGAGACTTACCCAGAAAGACTCACATCTGTAATTGCTGCCAAAGGTGCTTCTACAAAGTATTGACTCAGGGGTGTGAATACTTATGTAAATGTAATATCTCTGTATTTCATTTTCAATACATTTGGAACATTAAGCTAGCCAAGACCAACAACACAAACAATCAGACTATACAGCTCCAAGTAGTGAGTGGAGTTACAAATGGACTATAGCCTACTAAATAAGTTAAATGTCTTACCTGTGATTAAATGTTTTCCACACACATAGCTACGTGTAGCCTACTTAGACAACAGGTCTCCACATTTCTCACGCCGAATAGCCTGAAGCCACTGTGCGCTTCTCTCAGGCTCTATTTCCCTACGTGGGAGCATTGCGAACCGTAGGTCGGGATTTCTGAGCTGGTTACATGTACATTGAACAACACAGCAGCTTTTTTTTAAACATATTTTGTTATTTCTGTTTAACAAAAAATCGACAACGAGGTTGGAAAATAATGTTTGCTTTCCCTAATTTGTGGGCGTGGTCGAGGGGAATTCCTTCTTATGATGTGAATATCGACTCTCAGTGTTCTGTTCTGTATATACAGTGTAGGCCACATTTGTATTACATTTTTCTGAAATGACTTCACTAATGTTAGTGAAGTCGACTAAAGAGTAATTCAGCTTGCATACCTTCCTCTTTTGAACCTTAGTTGTTCTTTGTGTTGATTTGTGTTGTGTGAAGATGAAAAAGCAATTCTTGCTTGACTCCCTCTCTGTCTCTCTCTGTCTATTTCTCTCTTTCTGTCTGTTTGCTGAATGAAGATTCTCTCTCTCAGCCTCTCCCCCTCTCCCTTCACCTCTCCTGCAACATGATCTCTCTCTTTCCCTCTATCTCTCTTTCTTTCTTTATCTCTCTGTCTGACTGACTGTGTTGGCTGAATAAATAATTGTTTCTTTCTATCTATCTATCTTTCTCTCTCTCAGGCTGAGCTGAATAGAACATTGTGTGATTACATAACACAGGAGATGGTGCTCAGGAGATGCGTCAGCGCTCTTTTTGTGATGCCCCTTCTGACACTCCTGTGTGGGATCACCCCTCTTCTCTTTAATCACGGGGTCTGGACACACACACACCCACACACACACACACAGATGTCAAACCATACATTTCTCTCCCGGTTATATGACAACTTAGTGCTCCTCGTCAATGTTTTATGAAATTACAACCTGAGCAGGCTGAGATTGACCAGGTCTTACATGAGAAGTGATTTAGCCAAGAGAGACCAACGGTCCCTGTTTGCAGTGCTGTTACATCACCCGGGTTGCTAAGCGGCACCTACAGTGCACAAAGTATTCAGACCCCTGGACTTTTTCCACATTTTGTTACGTTACAGCCTTATTCTAAAATGGATTAAATAAACAAAAATCTTCATCAATCTACACACAATACCCCATAATGACAAAGTTAAAACAGGTTTTCAGAAATGTTTGCAAATATATAAAAAATTAAAAACAGAAATACCTTATTTACATAAGTATTCAGACCCTTTGCTATGAGATTCGAAATTGAGCTCAGGTGCTTCCTGTTTCCATTGATCATCCTTGAGATGTTTCTACAACTTGATTGGAGTCCACCTGTGGTAAATTCAATTGTTTGGACATGATTTGGAAAGGCACACACCTGTCTATATAAGGTCCCACAGTTGACAGTGCATGTTAGAGCAAAAACCAAGGCTTGAGGTCGAAGGAATTGTCCATGGAGCTCTGAGACAGGATTGTGTCGAGGCACAGATCTGGGGAAGGGTACCAAAAAATGTCTGCAGCATTGAAGGTCCCCAAGAACAGTGGCCTCCATCATTCTTAAATGGAAGACGTTTGGAACCACCAAGACTCTTCCTAGAGCTGGCCACCCGGCCAAACTGAGCAATCGGCGGAGAAGGGCCTTGGTCAGCGAGGTTACCAAGAACCTGATGGTCACTCTGACAGAGCTCCAGAGTTCCTTTGTGGAGATGGGAGAACCTTCCAGAAGGACAACCATCTCTGCAGCACTCCACCAATCAGGCCTTTATGGTAGAGTGGCCAGACGGAAGCCACTCCTCAGTAAAAGGCACATGACAGCTCACTTGGAGTTTGCCAAAAGGCACCTAAAGACTCTCAGACCATGAGAAACAAGATTCTCTGATCTGATGAAACCAAGATTGAACTCTTTGGCTTGAATGCCAAGCGTCACGTTTGGAGGAAACCTGGCATGTTTGGAGGAAACCTACGGTGAAGCATGGTTGTGGCAGCATCATGCTGTGGGGATGTTTTTCAGCGGCAGGGACTGGGAGACTAGTCATGATCGAGAGAAAGATGAACGGAGCAAAGTATAGAGAGATCTTTGATGAAAACCTGCTCCAGAGCGCTCAGGACCTCAGACTGGGGCGAAGGTTCACCTCCAACAGGACAACGACCCTAAGCACACAGCCAAGACAACACAGGAGTGACTTCGGGACAAGTCTCTGAATGTCCTTGAGTGGCCCAGCCAGAGCCCAGACTTGAACCCGATCACTGCCAAAGGTGCTTCATCAAAGTACTGAGTAAAGGGTCAGAATACTTATGTAAATGTAATATTTCAGTCGTTTTTTTTTGTTGTGCAAAAATGTCTAAAAACCTGTTTTTGCTTTATCATTATGGGGCATTTTGTGTAGATTGCTGAGGGGAAAAATCAATTTAATCAATTTTAGAATAAGGCTGTAACGTTACAAAATGTGAAAAAGCTCAAGGGTTCTGAATACTTTCCGAATGCGCTGTATGTGCTGAGTGATGATACTCCTTGGCCACGTCTTTGACATTTATAGTGGAGCGCTTGCTGATGCAACTCAGATGAAGTGTCTCTCGCACTGGGTTCTGTAACACCATCTTACACTTTCTACCTCTGGGAATTGAACTTGCAACCGTCTTCTCTGGTCCTGAGGCGTTTCATGTTGTACTGCAGCACTCACTGTTGTGCTGTTAAAGGTAATGGGTGCACCTGTGTTGTGAGGTTTATTTTTAAGCATGCCGTTGCTGTCCCATGCTAGTGAAATGCTGATTCTCGCTATATGTGAGTTGTTTACATTTTAGTGTCTTGATGTTGTGTCTGTCACAAGCAGGCTTGTTTATATAAGCTGATGTTGACATGCTCATTTTTCAGTTCTATGGTGCTAGCTGTATTTTCATTGTTAAGTTTTCCAAGATTCAAAATTCTGCCAGTTTATAGTTTAGCTCTTAGGGCAGATTCTAGGTATCCTAGATAGATGCCATCTAGATGCCATCTCCTGCCGATGTGACATTGAGTAAGGCACTTAACCCATAGGTTGAAGAGGGGGTCAGGGCAAGGTGTTGCCCTCCTGCCTGGCTGACCCTGGCTTCCAACTCTTCTGGGTGTTTGTCTGTTGCTTGGGAGGTTGGGTTAAAGCGAAAAAAGCTTGATCTGAAAATAACTATGCACATTGAAGTACTTTTCTTCTTCTAACATCTACTTGCACATGATTTAGCCACACAAAGACACAGTAAACCCCCTTGGGGGATTTGTCCAGGCCACCCTGTACTGCTGTGTGCTGCCTCAGTGGGCCAAAAGCTGGAGATATATGCCTACCAATGATGTACCACTACCATTGTCACCGCAGGGGTTGGTATCTCCCTTTGAAACCAGGATTGGTATTGAACTCTAATATGGCTGATTGAATGAGACCCTATCAGGGCAGCTTTGTTTCGCAAAGCAGTTTTTGACCTGAGGGTTGTAGGTTCAATACCATGTTGCTCTCTTGTGCCTTTTGAACTTTAACCTCAGGATTATTATAATATTTTATTTTTTTGTGTAGTTGGGTGGATAGTAGGCTATCTGACCTAGGACCTAGACCATGTGTTTAATCACTCATTGATATAGGCTAGTCACCCAGAGCAGGCTGCGTGAATGGAAACCCTCTAAAAACAGATGAGCATGAACATCGGCAAATGTCACACTGGTATCGCTGATATATCACTACAATACTTTGTAATTACTGCTCTATCAAAAGTCAAAATGACGTTCTTTCCTTGGCAGAGGACTGTAAGAGAGACAAGACGGCTGCTCTTTAGAACCTTGCCTTTCAGAGTGAAAGGAAGCCTAAATGTCTCTCATGTCGTTTGCAATGACACCTTGAAATGTCTTTGCTTGATCAACTAACAGAAATAGGTATTTTGACATTTCTCTAGTGGGTCTCTTTTATTTTTCTATGTCTCAGCCCTATCCTTGCTTTATAGACCGGAACCCTAGTGACATACACTGACACAATTATTGTGTAGGGGTGTGTGTATATCATAGAGCTGGAACTGAGGTAATCGTGTCTGTCACGTGGGCTTCTGTTTTCAGATGAAAATGTATTTTGTGAGTCACAGAGATGTTGATGTACCGGTAGTACTGCTCATGCTTCTCTCAGCTCGTGAGGAACTAACGGAATGATATGATGTCCCTTTTCTGCCCTCTCTCACAGCTTCCTGGAGGAAGTGACATTGACGGCGGGTGCAGGCCAGGCCGAGAGGGTGCAGAGGGCGGGTGGTCATCCCAACAGACGCTGAATGTTTGTTGTCACACACACACACACCACAGACTCTCACTATACCTTGTGTCCGTTCCTTATTGGTATCAGTAGCACATGCTTTAATTCATGGATGCGTCCCTAAAAACATTCCGGTGCTCTCAGCTGTCACCACCACACAGCTGGACTCTTTATCGACCCCTTAAAAACTTGTTGTAACTGGGTCAATTGACTCCATACAAATGAATATGTAACCCAATTAGACAGCCAGGTTACCTAACCCTGGGCACCAAAGCAATCTGTTCCCCACTTAACTAGGTTACCCAGTGATTGATTTGTGACTGAACGGAGCACAACACTCTCAATGTTAGTGTCCAACATTTGAACCTATTGCAACGTCACATTTCCCCTTAAATTGAATTAAGTGGAAAACTCCAGTCTGCTCTTATATTAGACCCTTATTTAATTCCTGAAAACAGAGGTGGCACAAAGACTTTTGAGTCTTGTTTATCTTAAAAGTTAATATATGGTCCCAAAAATGCAAAACATTTCTCTCTAAGATTACATTATGTACAGTGTATGTTTTTCTTCCTTGCCTATGTACATTTCCCATTGCTATATACATGTCGTCCAAACCTACTGAATTTGAAATGACTGTGAATATTGTAAGGAAAATACCAATAAAGAGTGAAATGTTTTGTGTCCCTCGTTTATCTTTGGGATTGTATACATGTCCTGTTATGGGGTAATCGATTTTCTTTCCCATCACCCATTTCTTGTGGCAGTTGATTGTGGCACTGTTTTGATTTCATTCATGCGTAGTGTTATTGTGCACAACTTTCCCCCTTAGATCAATAATGATAACATAATCCTGTTCTCCCATCCAATTCCATTATGCTAAGTCACACTCTGAATATCTTTGACAAATGCCCCTCTGTTGTACTTTTCATTTGTACGGTATTTCCTGCACCATGTTTCCGCTATAACATGAAAGTACAGTTTGTAAACTTTATCTACTGTTGGCTGTGTTTGGTCTTTGATTGTGGGCTAGTGTGATTGCTCTGGTTCAACTCTGTGATTTCATGTTTGGTTAAGGAATTGAATGCAGAGGATATACATCCAAGGTGGAGTCTTTGGGTTTCCCCCCTCACACAACAAACAACCAAACAACCCAAATGTTTGGCAGCCCATGTTTGGCAGTTGATTCTTTGCCAAGTGCCTACCCCACTGCCAGCTACATGTGCCACAGATATTCAGCCTGCCTCCCTATAAAACCTCTCCATACCCCCCATCGCCACCCCCAAATCAGATCCTCTAATCATCCACAACAACAACCAGCATTGCTTGGGTTATGTTCATAAGGAATACAACAGAAAGTGTTTTCAACGGGGAACGGAAATTAGCGTTTCTTATTGTACTCTCCCGCTTTAAATTAATTTTCTTCATTTTGCTGCCTAATGAGCAAGACCCTGTTCACCATAACAAAGCAGTAACTCCACAGTCCGGGTGCATCCCCTGGAGATTCTGGCTGTGTGTTCTGAGAGATCTAGGGATCAGGAAAAGGCTCAGAGTTTGTGCTCTGAGCAGCTTAATGCAGAAGCTGAAAATAGTTAAGAAATAGATGACATAACTACAAGCCTACTGTCTGGGGTGCATGTAACAATAAGTTAAACATCTCCAACATGAGATAAAACTTTGTGGTCTTCTAGAAAGAGAATATAAAGAATAGATTATATTTATATTGTGGTCCCCAAATACTCACCTTCCCCTCTGTAATATGATTCAAATTGAAATATTGTTTTTATGGATAAATCTAGTAGGCCTAATCATTACAAGAATGTATAGGTTCTATTGAAAATCAATAATGGCATATAAAATCATTCTCATAATGATATCAATTGTGGATTTTTGTTTATAGGCCCCTATATGGGCAGGTTATGGATTTTGAGTTGGCTTCCTCTCAACTGAACCTTGCTCTTCTATTTTCCAAACATAAGAGCAATTTGACATCAGCCGTCTTGGTGACATCACGCCGACAGAGCAATAAATGGAGCTGTCGAGCGCTAAAATAACGGGAATACCCTTTCAGCCCGCTTGTTCGAGATCAGTGTAGCCTACCTACAGAGGTGGAGGGACGATGCCACCGTCTCGTAATAACGGACAGTGCACGAACTGACCGCATCATCGGAATTAAGAATATAAACTGTTATTACGACAGGTTGGGCAGTAGAAGAGGGGAAAAAAGAAAGGGAAAGACAGTTTATGCAATAAAAAAATATATATTAATAGAAAGAAAGGAAAATACTTGAAACTGGAGGAACTCCCTGGCTCACATCCACAAAAGTGATTGTCATCATGAAGAAGAGCAATTTAGCCAAACGGGTAAGATATTGCTTTTTTCTTCAAGTATTGGGTGCACGTTTTTTGACATGCCTCTTTGCATTAGGCTATACATTTTCATGGATATAACTGGCAATATGCCCAGAATCGGGCATTATGCGCGCTTTGACACCACAGCACACATTCTCGGCTATATCACACACATTGTCTATATCACAAGATTTGATAGCCTACAGTTCCTAAACAACGGTCGTTTGGCACCTCCTTACGCGTTACACATTCAATCATGTGTAGCTATCAGTGTGCTTGTGTGCCATTACACGAATTTCCTCAACATACGTCATCGATCTTCCAGTGAAGAGTACAATGTGTTTTCTTTTCACTAGTGTGCCAGATGCCGGTTGCGCTGTATCGGTTGGTAGCTTTAATATATTTTATTTGCCACACCCTGGATGGTATAAGACCTGCAATTAAATTTTACGCACGGAAGAGCGCACCGTTATCATTTTTGGGAAAAGACGCTAGGAGACTCATAGTTGCCATGTCTTACTGAGGCTGAGATTGAAAAGGCATTTGCATTTGAAAGAGCTCTTGTTATCTCAGTACTCTCAAGAACATCTTATTATGTAAGCTAAACTAGGTTTTAACGGATTTATTCCACTTTGAACATGCAGGGTCCTCAAGATGTCAACCAGCTGTCATCGCAGTCAGACAAAGTCGGCTGGATCCGCAAGTTCTGTGGCAAAGGGATTTTTAGGGAAATATGGAAAACCCGTTTCGTGATACTGAGAGGAGACCATCTGTACATCTCCGAAAAAGAGGTATGGACTTCTCTTTTACCTCCAATAGCATGTGTAGACTATAATTGTGTCTATGCCTACAGTGGGCGCACACACCTGTACTTTAAATTGTTAAACTGCCTGTGTGTGTGTGTGTGTGTTTGTGTGTGTGTGTGTGTGTGTGTGTGTGTGTGTGCGCGTGCGTGTACAGGACTGTGCTTGTGTGTGGGTACATATGAACATTTTATTTAGTTTGCCTGTACTGCCTTAGACAGTTCAGGTTTCCTTTGTTGCAGGCTCAGCTTGCCTCAGTAGAGATGCTTTTGTGTGTGTGTTTCTGCGTATGTGTCTGTCTGTCAATGTGCCACACAGTTGAAAGCCAATGAACTACAAATACCACATAGCCTGTTTAAGATGCACCATTAAGATGACAGCTTTGACAGCAAACATGGATTTAACTTTTTAGCCGTGGAAGGACATCTTGGGTTTCAGAGTTCTGAGGAACTTGTTTTGAGAAAATAGCCTTGCATGTAACCTACACCTGGGCTTTCAGCTCTTGGTCTGTTGTTTCCAACAACAAATTTAACCAAGGGTCCTTTAGTTTTGAATAGCCAGATGTTAGAAGTCAGGAAAATCGAGGATAGGGTCGCCATGGAAAGGGAAAAAATCTAACTGAATTTCCTTGGCTGTTGAAAATAAATATGCTAAATTGTCAAATCTATTCACCATGCAAGCACAAAATAATGATGTGCTGAATTCGGATTACTTTCACTGGCTCAAACGTGCCCAACTTTTGAGGTCAACAAAATACCCACTGGGCACAGACGGTTCAACATCTATTCCACATCGGTTGAACATAATGTCATTTAAATGTTGTGGAAACAACGTTGATTCAACTAGGCAAATTTAGAATACTTTCCATTACAATAAAACAACAGGTGTTGGCCATGGCGTAGAAAGATAACTATTTTGTTTGGCTGAAAGTAGGCTTATGTCCAAGTGCTTTTATCACATGAAAGGTTCCAGTGGACAGCCTCATTATCAGTACAAGTTTCGAGATCAAATAACCTAGATGTTAAACCTTAAGCTGTAGCGAATTCACACCCTTCATCTACTGTATTCTGTCAAAAGGCACTGAACCATCACCATGGACAGGGCATGGACAGGGCATAGAACGGGCATGGACAGAATCATACCCCCCATTTCTGCATTCTCTTTTTTTTGGGGGGGTGGGGGCTGTTTGAGATTCTGTTTGATATCGCTGTTTCAATACTCCTCCCACAAGCAGTAACCATGGAGATAAACGCTACTGACAGCTGAGGGGGCACAGGTCTTTCTGAAAGCTGAATAATGCCCTTCAAATGATTCCTAGAAAGGATTCCCAGAACAGCGAATGAAAGTTCCACATTAGGGGCTGCATATCTCTATTGCTCTAATGAAAGAGTGAGTGGGACTCAGGGCTCCAGCAGCACGCAATGCCAGTTTCCCCGATAATTTTAGAACCAGAGTTTAAAGTATTTTTTATTCTGTGCCCTGCTCCCTTACAGCCTGCTGGATGAGCAACAAACGTGTCAGAAACTCAAAAGACCATGGCTAACGCAGCTGCGCCTCTCGCTGTGCCTGAGGATCCCCAAGCACCCAATGCCTCCACCCCTCAACCCTACCTCATACACATACACACACACACGCTCAGCTGAGGTTCAGTTGCTTTGTAATGCCATTACCATCCTCACCTGTGGAACAGAACGCATCAATTCAGCGTAGTTAACGTTAGTTCTCTTTCTTTCTCTCTTTATCGTGTCTCTCACACATGCTCTGTAATTTGTTGGATGTTATAGTTATGTTATGTAATGCACCTATGGGTCGTTCTACACCTACAATTCGATTTTTGTTAAGGGGCCATTTTTATATGTATGTTGGTAAGTGGCGTGCTAGCTATTTGGTAGCTTTCAGATATTTTATTTGCCACACCCTAGTTCTCTTTCTTTCTCTCTTTATCGTGTCTCTCACACGTGCTCTGTAATTTGTTGGATGTTATAGTTATGTTATGTAATGCACCTATGGGTCGTTCTACACCTACAATTCGATTTTTGTTAAGGGGCCATTTTTATATGTATATTGGTAAGTGGCGTGCTAGCTATTTGTCAGGTGAAGGTAACTGCACCCCCAGTGAGAACTATTTGACCTGCGGGTACTTGTGCGTGTTATGTGCTCTGCTTCAACTTCTTAACCACTTGATTAATGGTGGTGCATTATTCAAATGGCACTTTGAAAAGACAAGCACGCTGTTCATGAAGTAGGCCAGAAGGCTAAGATGAACACTGAGGCTTTTGTATCTTCGACACTCAGCGTGACTACAGCCGAACGGCCTCTTGAGGCCCGGGATAATCTTTTCATTTTCCTGTAGAGTCCCGTATTTGAGTTTGATGTAATGGCTTATAGACGTTGAGTGCTATCATGTCGTTAGCGAGTTAGATGTGTTAAACACTTGCGTTAATACATGACCAACATTGCGGTTTAATTTTATCTGCAATTGATTGAATTGTGGCATGAGTGTGCAAGCTGGCATTGACAGTATCCAATTGTCTGCTGACTCATAAGATTAGCTACATAAACTCGGGGAAGGACAGTAAGCAGGTATACTGTTATATTACCTCTAAGCAGTTCGATGTGTGAGAGATTATCATATGAGGATTTGCAACCATGCAACTGGGACTCTGAGAAGTTAACTACTGGTGACATTACTCTGTACTACCCCAGATTATTCCAATTTACTTCATACTTTGACCACAAATAAGAGCGCAAATATGTATCTATCTGTTCTCCTGTCTTATCTGTTTGATGTTTTTATTGTGAAGGAGAAAAGGGTGGTGATATTTTAGAGGGAAATTCAGAGAGAGAACTTCTGCGGCTGGAGGGCATATAGTCTGGAGGTCGGCAGCGCTACCACGAGACCCCGGCGCAGAACATAAATATAATTTGAAGACTATTGAATTTCATTGCCTCGCGGTTACTTAGCAGTGTCAGGGGAAATGACTCAGGGAACAGCTACAGTATTTTTATGTTGAAAATGTCAAGATATCATTAAAGGTTTCATCATCTCAAAGAGCCCGGTAACTGCGGGTGTATTTTTTGTCAAATGCGGACTCCGCTACTGCTCACAATGAAAATCTGTGGAAAACCAGGATTTTGAATTATTTTGATCGTCAGCTCAAGCTTACCATAATAGGCTACAGAGCCATTGGGCAGACAGTCATGATGCTACAAGAACATGCCGTACACAACACAGGAACTGCATAGATGTGTGTGTTACAGTGAGGTCTGTTCTTCCATAGAAGGCCATGTGTTGTGTGTGAAAAGTGTACAGTATGTTGTCATAGTTGAGAATGAGATGCGTGTCCGTGTGCTGAGAGTGGATGTTATGGAGGAGTGTGTCCTGTCTCTGCTCCGATGATATTAACCCTGTATATTGCTCTGCTCTCATCGTACAGCTGTGCTATTGGCTGCAGGTTACACACATCATACAACTTTTATATGAGCACTCTCTGTTCTCTTCTCTAGTCTTGTGATGATAGGAGGCTTTACACGTGCAGACAGAGATGCTCCTGTAGAATGCTCCACGTGCTTCTACTCAAGCACTCAATCAATGATCTATGTGAATAATTGATGGGATTTCCACCTATGTTTATATATATAGAGAGAGAGGTCTTTATGGTTTTCAATGGTGATGTGCACGGCATATGAAAGAGAACACTCAAACAAAACAGGATTTAGAGCAAGAGAGTGAAGCTTGTATTCATCAGATACTGTATGACCAAGGCCAGGTGGTACTTGAGGTAATATTTTAGGCCATGCATTAAAGAAATGTGGTGACGCAGTTGGACATGTGTTTTGTAGTTGGTCAAGATCTTTGTGATTGATGTAGCTTACAGATACTGTTGCAATGTGATTGGCATAACATCGGTGACAAAGTTTTGTGATTGATAGAGAAACCCTGTGACTGGAGGAGCTTAGCATAAAATTGGACTAACACACCTCTAAAATTGGTCAAGGACCACACAAGTGTTGTTACTGGTTCAATCGATCAATGTGATCAGTGGAGAACTGGGTTGTTAGTGAAACCCGTAAGTAATTTGGAAATAGTTCAAGATGACTGGTCAAGCATATCACATGGTCAATGTAACAAAGCTATATGATTGGTGCAGGGAGGCCATGGTGGTTTAGATTTCCAAACGAGTTATTTCAGGAAAGCCTACTGGTCAGTTCTGGGGAATATTATATTTATAGTATTATATTATAAATAAACCAGCCTCTTTAAACTCCCCAGCTTTAAACTACATCACATTTTCCGCAGTGATTGAAAATATGCTTTTAATCCACTTCCCCTCTTAATTCCAACCTGGTTTATATAAACATAAAACCCTCTAGGACTTGATTACAGGGTATTAACAGCATGTCAACCAGATTTTGGAGTGTGACCAATCGGACATTGCCTTTCCATTCGCTCTAGGTTTTTCCCTCCCACAGTACTGTTTGATGGGCTGCCACCGGCTAGTATAGACTTTCTTGATCTTTGCGTTTCAGGGCTGTATGTTACTGGGTTATTCTTAGTGGTGGGTATTTTACCCCCACTACCACCCCCAACTCTGCTTTTCCATATACGTAGCAGGAGGGGATTGAAATATTGATGGGATGGTGGGGGTTCCAGAATGGATCCTCAGGGCTTCTTTTGCCCCATATTATAGTTGTGAGCCTCCCTCTCTCACACACACACACACGATGCAGACATGCACGCACACACATACAGCTCATGTTTATCTTTTACATTTTAAATGCAATTTGGGTGGTTAATGAAGATGTAGCAGCATGCGGTGGGACACAGTTTGGATCTGTGTTTTGTCAGGAAGAAATTGGACTACACTTTGATGTATGTATTGTCCCCATTTAGTGTATCGCCAAGCATAATAAAGTTCCTCAATGAAATTAAAAGACAAATGGTCAAATTTAGCACACAAATAATAACAGCCCTAAGAAGGGCATTTCAGGCTGCAAGTGGGTTAATGGTGGTTGATACTAGGCTGCGACACATTATTTAATTATACCGTATGTGGTTGTTTCTTTGATCACAGAAACTCTCTGAGTTGCTCCGTGTCTCTTTCTAACGTTGGAAGATTCCTCTGATGCACGGCTCTGTTGCTGTGGAAAAGCTCTATGCATCAAGATGAAAGTGGAACACCCCTCCACTTTCCCAACACACACTCACATCCAACCACACACACCATTGCTGTGTGTACCAATGGCGTTCAACCTTGTCTCTCTGCGTCTCCTTAGGTTCTCACAATAGACCTACACATAGGCTTGTATTCATGTCAATAACCAACTCCCAACACCTCCAAACACACACACACACCATGACCCCCAATGACCCCGTTGGTGTGTGGAAGCTAATGAGGCCCTCTGGGAGGTCCCACCACTCTTGAGGTTGTATGGCCTGTCAGGCTGAATGGAGGGGTCGATGTCTCTGCCCCAGTGCTGTTGATTAGAATTGATCTGCGTTTAAATTAGATACTTTGCTGCGGGGCCACGAGACCAATAATAGGAGGCAGGGGAGTAGCACAGGAACAATGGCGGCATTGGGAAGCTGGTTTTTGAAAATAAACACATCTTTCGATGCTCTGGGTAAAAGTATGATCATAACATGGTAACATTCTGATGTCAGGCCTGTAATGGATTTTTTTTATAGACATTTGGACTTATCCTAAAAAGACCTTCATTACACCTACAGAATAGCTTCTGTATGGGCATTTAAGGCCTGATATACCAGATAATTTCATTTGAAACCTCATTAACATCCTAAAATAATGGATGATATGAATGCACCGTGGTTGTTGAAAGCTGCAGTATAACAGAGAGTGGTAATTAGTATTTTCCCTTGGGTTAAACTCAAGATGTCCTGCTGTAATGCACAGTAGGTTGCTCTCTCTCTCTGTGTGTGTGTGTATATTTGTGTGTGTGTGTGTGTGTGTGTGTGTGTGCAAATGTGTGTGTGTATATGTGTGTGTGTGCATGTGTGTTTTTGTGGTAGACAGGTGGTTTAAGGTTAAAAACAAATTGACAAAGCTCATTTGCCAGTGCCATCTTGCACATCTGTATAGACCTGAGTTGTAACTACTTCCTGTTTTCTCTGTGTGTTTCTAGGTGAAGGATGAGAGGAAAGTCCAGGAGTTATTTGACCTGGCTGACTACGAACGCTCTGAGGAGCTGCGCAAGGCTAAGAGCCGCAGTAAGAAGAACCACAGCAGGTTCACCCTGCTCCGCTGCAAGCAGCCTGGGAATACGGTGAGTCCTTCTGCCCAGGGAGAGTGAAGGAGTCAGGCAAGGAGGCTCAGCAGGGCCTGGGGTGTGTAGGCCTCAGTGGAAAGCCCTTACTGCAGGTGTTGATTTTAGCTGAAAATGCACTGAGAAGTTTTCTTTTACTGAAAACTGAAACTTGAGGCAAGCCTATCATCAGACATAGTTTGTGGTTTTCTGTAAAGAGAGAGTATGAAACATTCAGTACAAGTTCAAATCAAATCAATCAAATTGTATTTGTCACGTTTCGTATACAACAGGTGTAAATAACAGTGAAATACTTACTTACGAGTCCTTTTCCAACAATGCAGTGGCTACGGTACTAAGTTTTTGTATCCCAATAGAGAGAAATAGTAATGGCTTCTTTTCTAGGCACTAATTCACCATGCTTCATTTGACAAAGCCTATGAGAAAATCCTATGTTCAAGAATGTCCTTATTCCCTTTATTCAGATTACAACCTCTCACTTTCAGTTATTTGAAAAGGAAATAATCTCCCAAATATCACTATTTCTAAAACAAGCCATAGAAAGTTGGTTGCAATTTCAATTTCATCCACCAGAAACAACAGAACAAATAATACAACAAATATTGTGGTTAAACTCAAATATACTAATTGATAAAAAAAACATTATTTTTTGAAAAAATGTTTAATAAAGATATAATCTTCGTAAATGATATCATAGGTAGGACTGGTGGAGTTATGTCGCACATGCAGCTAACAACAATTACAACCAACTAATTGCAGCGTTACCGCAAAAATGGAAGAGGAATGTGGAAGGGGGGAAAAGTAAGGAACTTGTCTGTCGGCCCTGCATTAAAGACCATAATTGGTTAAAGAAAATTGTGATAAATAAAAAAGTATACCAGTTTCATTTAAGGACCAAAAAATTGACAGCCGTCCCATATAGATTACAAAATAGTTGGGAAGAGATTTTTGACGTACCAATTCCATGGCACATGATTTATGAACTGATACGCAAAACGACGCCGGATTCTAAACTTAATTTAAATTATTATACAAAATTCTTGCAACCAATAGAATGTTATTTATATGGGGGATACAACCTTCCCATCTCTGCAGATTTTGCTGCGAAGAGACCGAATCATTAGATCATTTGTTTTGGTAATGTCCATATGTAGCTTGTTTTTGGTCACAGGTCCAGGAATGGCTGAAGAATTGCAATATTTACCTGGAGCTAACCCTGCAGATAGCACTACTGGGTGATCTGAAAAGTCATAGTCAATTGATAAATAATATAATAATACTTTTAACAAAAATGTTTATTTTCAATCTGTAGAAACAATGAGAATAGAAAGGTTCAGAACTTTGAAAAATAGTTGAAAGAAAAAAAAGCACAGTTGAAAAATATATGGCAAATAGAAATCCAATATGGATGAGAGATAGATGGGAGGGGTTGAATGGAGCTGAAGGTTGGGACTAATAACAAATAATTACAACAACATAACTAATGTAAAACATACTGTGTCCGTAAAACGTATATAGGTTATAGGTTAAGAACTTTTGTGAAAGAGCACAGTTTGAAAGATATGGCAACTAAAAATCAAACCGGATGGACATCAGAAATAGATGGGAGAGGTTGAGGGTAGAGGAAGGACAGGAGTAAAAACAAACAAAATAATTGTCCATAAAATGTATATAGGATGTATAAGCTGGAAGTAGAGTCCTAAGCGATGTTGTTCACTAGTTTACTCCAATTAGGGTAGGGGTGGTAGGGTTAAAAAGTAATAAAGGAAACCTTTGACTGGTAGTGTATATATTTGCAAATAAATATATGGGGGATTGGAAGTGATGCAGACAATTACATTGATGGAAGCAACAATCTATCTGCAATATTAAAGGTGATCTACCCCCTAAAAATACAAATAAAATAAAAGCCTATGGGAAAATCAATGGTCGAAAATAAGGTATGTGGTAAACACAGGCTTAGGAGATCTTGAAGCATTTATGTAATAAAAAAAAGCACATTAAGGCTTCATAATTCATAAAGGTCATGTTAACTGACTGATATTATCTCATAAAACAAAACGTATAAGATCTCCTAAGCCTGTGTTAACCTCAGACCTTGTTTTCTGCTGTGCCCACTTCGCTTCCTATGTAGCTGCTGTGCTGAGTGATTCGCTGCTGGTCCCCGTCTTTGATCGCCTTTGTCTGGTCAATAGTGTAGCCTACAAACTTCATGTTGTACACAAAACTGTTTGAACTATTGCATTCCATGCCTCAGTAAGCATAAGCTGGATTTCATGTTATTTTTTCAGGAGGGGAGTAGGCTACATGCAGCTATTTATATGTTTTACACAAAATACATTATCAACATGTACAAACTTTGTTGTCGGTATTGCATACATAAGCACGACACAAACAGAAACCTTAAGAAAGAGGTTTCAGGAGGGGCGGGCGGGGGCAGGGCATTGGCGAAAACTCTGTATTCGTAGCCACAGCCTAAAGATAAAGACACAAAAATTAAAAATAGTGGCACGAGGAATAATTTGACAGTGAATAACAATAAAGAGTAAAAATAACATGGCTATATACAGGGAGTACCAGTACCGAGTCGATGTGCAGGGGTACGAGGTAATTGAGGTAGCTATTGGTAGGGGTAAAGTGACTAGGCAACAGGATAGATCATTGACAGTAGCAGTAGCGTACACTCGGTGGGCAGTTTATTAGGTACATCACCCAGTTCACAAAAATGGTTAGCTCCTACAGACAGTGAGTCACGTGCGCCGGTTCCACTATCTCAAAACTGGCTGGCCTCCTGGGCTTTTTATGCACGACAGTGTCTAGGGTTTACCGAGAATGGTGCGACAAACAAAAAACATCCAGTCAGTGGCAGTCCTGTGGGCGAAAACAGCTCATTGATGAGAGGTTGATGGAGAATGGCAAGAATCGTGCAAGCTAACAGGCTGGCCACAAACAGGCAAATAATGGTGCAGTACAACAGTGGGGTGCAGAACGGCATCTCGGAACGCACAACTCGTCTGTCCTTGTCACGGATGGGCTATTGCCGCAGACGACCACACCGGGTTCCACTCCTATCAGCTAAAAACAAGAAGAATCGGCTCCAGTGGGCACACGATTCTACCAGCTTTCATAGTCTCATGTCAGAATTAGACGTTCATCCATGTTTCTCAAACGTCAAATTTCGAAGTTGTTCCAAACGTCAAATTTCAAAGTGTTTAAGGTTAAGTTTAGGCATTAACTCCAAATTTGTACGGTTAGGGTTAAGTTCAGGCATTAACTCCAAATTCTTAAGGTTTGGCATTAACTCCAGATGGTTAAGGTTTGGGATAGGCTTAAAACAAGAATATCAAAAGCAACTTTCTATCGCTGGATTTGGGCTTGCAACCTTTGGAATCAGAGGTACGCCCATCTACCATCCTCATCCACAGCACCCTAGCAAAACCGAAACCTACTCGAAGGTAACAACGCTCACTGTTGCCCCTAGTGGCCAGTTTCCACGTATTCTCCTGACATCCTCAGACATGAACAGACGTCGAATACTGACTTGTATCACAGGTGACCTGGCTGCGCGATCACCAACAATGGACGATTGAGGAGTGGAAAAACATCACCTGGTCCGACGAATCCCGGTTCCTGTTGCGTCATGCTGATGGCAGAGTCAGGATTTGGTGTAAGCTGCATCAGTCCATAGCCCCATCCTGCCTAGTGTCAATAGTACAGGCTGGTGGCGGTGGTGTAATGGTGTGGGGAATGTTTTCCTGGCACACGTTAGGTCCCTTGATACCAATTGAGCAACGTTTCCATGCTCCGAAGAATTCAGGCTGTTCTGAAGGCAAAGGGGGATCTGTCTGACCCGGTACTAGATGGGTGTACCTAATAAACTGGCCACTGAGTGTATGTGGTAAGTGTGTGTGTGTGTGTGGTGTCAGTATGCATGTGTGCGCATGTTATGTGTGTGTGTGTGTATGTGTGTGTTGGGGTATCAGTGTAAGTATGTCTGAGTGTGTGGGTAGAGTACAGTGTGTGTGCATAGAGTCAGTGCAAGAGAGTTAGTGCAAAAAATCTGTCTAGCTGATGGAATATATTCATTTTACTCCTTGGAAGATTATATGGTTGTGTTGCCACATTGGATCGGACATTAACACACCCCCACCACAGACCGGGATTGGTGGATTTTTCCAGAAATACATAATCCACAGAATCCCATTACCTCTGAAGAGGCAATCTCTATAACGCCCAAATCCTACAGAGATTTCACTCAACAGTTGTCACTTCTGACTAGGGCTGTTGCGGTGACCGTATTACCGCCACACCGGCTGTCATGAGTCATGAAGGCAGTCAAATTCCACCTGACCATTTAGTCACGGTAATTATGCTTCTCCAAGCTTTGATGATACTGATGGTCATTAGTAGCCTACCAAACTTGCTAACTGCCTGGTACTCAGCACTCTATTGTCCCTTTAATCACTCTAACATCAATGCAAATGTATTCGAAAATGAGAGCTCATGAGCTCATTTCTATAGGCGATGCAATTGCGCGAGAAAACAGAGTGATGGCCTCTACTAAAAATAAGAGGATCCCATCAGCTTTCTATAGATTAGGCCTACTATATTTATTTCTCAACTTTCCTAATATTAAGCACATTGTTTATCTTTACAACAGGAGTATAGCCTACCTGGCTGGCATGAAAATGAACCACAGGAAAGCGTCCTCCATTCGCTATTTAAGTGCATAGATTATGTGTTTTTTCCCGCTGCCCCTGTTTCGAGACAGGTGCATGATAGTGGTCCATTCTAAATCAAAACAAATTTCACACAGATATTATTTAGTATATGTAAAGACAAGATTTAATCAAGAAAAGTCTGATGGGTGACAATATTAGCCTATCACTTGTGAATGATGCCCAGCATAAGAAACTGCCTTTTTTTTGCTACTTTTTCTAATCATAGTCGCACACCTTATGTAGCCTAGCCCATAGGCCTATATGTTTTGATAAGGTTTGTATCACATCTAAAGTGGCCAAATAACTTCTTAAAATTAAGCACATTCATCCGCTTTACAAGGGGTTTAGAGCCTAACTGGCATACATAAGCAGCGCGTGAGTTTAAAGTTTGGGGAAGATAATTTTCACCATAAAAATGCACCTTTATAATAAAAGCATTACTGCCATGTGCGCATTGCTGCTCTTATAATGTGAAGAAATAGCCTAATAGTTTATCAACATTTTAAGCTAAACATTCTGATCTGTTGCGTCAGCCACATTTTTTTTTTATGCTAGTGGTTGTATTAATTTGGGATCTATTGCACCCCACAACTGTCCCAGACTATGTTTGGAATATTTATTTCTCGCACAAAATAAAATAGGTCAACTTTTGTACTATGGGGGATAGTAGATTGACATAGGCTAGGGCTTTTGCTGTTTGTTAGGCCTACTCATCTTGTTGGCTGACAAAAAGTAAATGTGGACAGTTCTTCCAATATCTTCAATATGCACCTCGGAATTGGATAAGGACGCGCACAGTTGCGTCCCGATGTGTCTGTCTTCACTTGTAGCCTGTGAGCATGACCCGATCACTGTGATGGAGAGCCATGTGAGTGAGAGGCGCTTCGGAATGCCACGCACTCAGGGAGAAGGGCACAACACAGCACTCCGGGCCACAAAAGGCATGGATTTTTTTAGGGTGCATTACAGCCACAAAGGGGATGTCGCCGTGAAATTCAAGGCATTATCAAGTGCTTGTCAAATTGTGAGTGAGAGACTATTGAAGTGTGTACAGCCTGCGCAAAAAACAAAGCAGAGCTTATGCCTTTCAAGCGATTTTTTTCAAATCATCGTTAGTCTCATCATGCAGCCTTACAATGTATTAAAAATCAAAACATATAGCCCAACGTTTGTAGAACAACTACAGTTACATTAATAACTCTAAATTAAGCATATAGGAGTACCTATTTCTTTAACTGCTCAACACAGAATAGCCGCACTCCCTCAAATCGTTTGGAGAAAATATTGATATTTTATTCAGCTTTGTTCAATTGTATTCTTCATACTATAAAATAATATAAAATAGTGCCACGGAATTCCAAGCAAATCTTGTCTGCTAAATGAACTAGTGTAGCCCACAGCCATTTGGCATAGCCACATCAGGACCTAACATAAGGACAACTCAGAGTATACTATTATTTTCTTTTGAAATAGACTTCATATCATGCTTCTTTAGACCTGTCTAAGATACATCATGGATTTATTGTGAAGGTGTAGGCTATATTACATGGATTTATTAGACTTTTTAAAATGTAGATGTTCCAAAGGTCTGCATCAGTGGCTATGTGTGGAAGCCAGGAGATGCTGAATGTTTTTATGTTAATTAACGGTCAATTACCGTGAGACCGACAGTTATTTGCTTGACAATCACTGGCTGATGAAATTTCGTGACCATCACAGCCTTACTTCTGACCCACTGCAGTTCTTGTACGGCACCTGCTGGTGGTTCATTTTGCATCATTATTCACTGTCTTAGTGTGATATCCTAGGGGGAAGTGTGTGTTTGAGAGAAGATTGCAAGTATATACAAGGACATGTAATTGGAGGGCAGGTGCTCAATTTACCTGTTTCTGTCGAGCTTTGCAGAGATTTTTCCTCCTGTTTACAGCTTAGACCCTGCTCTAGATAAGAACCATCTTTAACATAATTCTTTGTTAATGCATTTAATGAGGCGCAATCCCCTTTTCTTGGCGATTTAGGCAAAGCCGCCCCATTAAGCTTTCTGTCCCCCTCTCCATCTCTCACACATTGGCTACATTCCGACTCTCCCTCCAGCCAATGCTTACACCAATTTATTCCTTTAAATCCATGATGGGAGTGTGGAAGTGCACACTTAAGAAGAAGGGGTGGAGTAGCCTAAACTTTCTCCATCTTCTTTCAACCAATCAATTGATTCTTTCCTTTTTTTCTTCAGGTGCCCAATCTTGTGTTTTTGGCCGTTAGCCCCGAGGAGAAGGAATCGTGGGTCAATGCCCTCAATACAGCCATCATCAAAGCCAAGAACCGCATTTTTGATGAGGTAGGTCAGTCACTCTTCTCCTCTCTTTCCCTGTCCCTATTTCGCTAGCTCTCATTTCTCCCCAGCTTTCAAGAGCTTTTCTTATTTCTCTCTCTCGTTAGCGTGTCTCTCGTGCAACATTTATGATTTAAAATGAAACCACCACAACTCAAAACGCCTCCACAGCCAGCCCTAAAAGGTTTCCAGACAAATTTAACCTTGCAGTTACTAAGCACACTGTAAAATTGGTGAATTTGGACAAAAGCAGAGTCTACATCTTTCAATACGGGAAACACGTAAGTTGTATCTCCCCAGGCGTGGATGAGAGATTGAAGTGTTTCCTCTTTGACTCATCCATCTCTGTCGGGAGTCCTCGTTAATGCTCCGTCCCTGCCGACGCCCACCTGTTTTCCCAGTGGCTCTCGATCAAACAGTGGCTCACTCCCCATCACACACTATGGGGTGAAAATCCATCTTCCATAGCTAGAGATTGTCAAGAAGTGAGAATGAACTCTGAAGCATGTCTGCTGCCCCGATTGTGAGAATCCTCTGTGTCAAGCAAATGGTGTGAAGTACTCTAATGTACTCGAATGTATATCATGTTCTGTACATTACATCTACAACCTCATACTCTCCCTCCACAAATATACATTTCTGTTATGCCGATTGTCAAAAAATCACTCTGTCTCTTTCTGATTGTCTCCATAGGTCACAATTGAAGAGGACAGTGTCCTGGTGCACCCTACACGTCATCGTGCCAAGATTCCCCATGCACGGCGCTTGCCCACCCGGGGACATCTCATGGCTGTGGTGGGTGTTGCTACCTTGGCTAACATTGATAATTCAGTTCCAAGTCAATATTATATTTTTGGAAGGCAAACAAGGAATTGTACTGTTTGTATTGTAAGGATTATCCTGGTCTGTTGCGTTGAATGCTAAACTCTCTTGTGCTCTCCCTAGGCATGCACCTCCTCAGACGGAATGTTGACACTTGACCTTGTCCACGAGGAAGATGACTCCACCCCAGAAGATGTGGAAGAAGGCTTCTGGGAAAATAACTTCAGGGTTGACCTAGACAAACGGACCACAGGTCGTCAGCGTTCTGGCACAGACGTCTCCAAACTCCGTGTCACCACAAAGGACCAAAGGGTACCCAAGACGGGCAGCCTGCCTCGTGGGAGTGAGCTCTCCTGGGACCGGACGCACCATCTTGAGGCTCAGTCCCGCACTCCTCCACCAGGGAAGAGGTTCAGTGCCCAGGGTAGGAGCCGCTGCGCCTCCATGGACGAGGTCCTTTCCTCACGGCCAGTCAGGGGTGTCCTTCACCCTCGCCCCACAGATGAACCTGTCCAGCCTGTCGGACCACTGCAGAGTCTTATCGCCCAGAAAATGCAGAGGGCTCAGGAACTGCTGGAAGAAATGCGATTGGAGGAACTGCAACGTGCAAAGGGCTTAGACTCGCCCTATCTAAAGGGCATTGACTCACCCCGCTTGCATCATCTAAGAGGCTCTGAGTCTCCTCACTCCAGGGCCTCAGGTTCACCTTGCAGTAAGAGTAGTGACTCCCCTCGTTTCAGGGGGAAAGACTCACTTCGTACGAAGGGCAAGAAGTCCCGCTCAAAAGGTACAGACTCACCCCATTCAAAGAGGGCTGACTCTCCTAATTTGAGGAGTAATGACTCTCCGCGACTTAGGGTTACTGACTTGCCCTTTAGGAAGGTTTCTGATTCTTCCAGTTTCAAGGAAACAGACTCGCCAAGTCTGAAGGGTTCTGACTCCCCACGTCTCAAGAAAATTGGCTCACCCTTTTCAAAAAGTTTTGACTCATCAAGTCTGAAGGGTTCTGACTCACCTCGTATCAAGGATACTATTCTGAGGGGTAAGGACTCGCCAAATATAATTGGTAAGAATTCTCCAAGTCTGAAGAGTATCGGCTCACCTCTGAAAAGTGCTGACTCGCCTCGTCTGAAGGGTAATGACTCGCTCCATAGTAAGAGTGCATACTCACTTCTCAGTGACTGTGATTTGGAGAGTAGACGGGCGGAGGCGGAGCGACTTCTGCAGGAGGCCGTCTCCTCCTGGCGTCAGGCTAAGGAGGTGCTGGAGGAGGTGAAGGAGCTGCAGACGCAGTCACTAAACCGCCGCTCCGAAAAGAAGACAATAGACAGGACCCCAACACCGCCACAGGACTATAGGCTGGAGGACCCATTCCTCTTGTCGCCACCACAGCTGAAAAGCACGCTGGCTTGTCTCCAAACAAAGATACAATGAAAGAGCACTAGGGGCATGGAGTAAATACATATTTTTGTCACGTTTTTGTTGTCATTACATGCCAGTGTTGAAGCACAAAGCTTTTTGGCTTTATTGCTCCCTTTGCACTTTCCTATCGTAATCCTTGTTTATATACAGTGCATTCAGACCCCTTCACTTTTTCCACATTTTGTTACGTTACAGCCTTATTCTAAAATGGATTAAATACATTTTCCCCCTCATCAATCTACACATAATACCCCATAATGATAATTTTTGCAAATGTATTACAAATAAAAACAGAAATACCTTATTTACATAAGTATTCAGACACTTTACTATGAAACTCGAAATTGAGCTCAGGTGCATCCTGTTTCCATTGATCATCCTTGTTTCTACAACTTGATTGGAGTCCACCTGTGGTAAATTCAATTGATTGGACATGATTTGAAAAGGCACACACCTGTCTATATAAGGTCCCACAGTTGACAGTGCATGTCAGAGCAAAAACCAAGCCATGAGGTCGAAGGAATTGTCTGTAGAGCTCCGAGCAGGATTGTGTTGAGGCACAGATCTGGGGAAGGGTACCAAAACATTTCTGCAGCATTGAAGGTCCCCAAGAACACCGTGGCCACCATCATTCTTAAATAGAAGAAGTTTGGAACCACCAAGACTCTTCCTAGAGCTGGCTGCCCGGCCATACTGAGCAATCGGGGGAGAAGGGCCTTGGTCAGGGAGGTGACCAAGAACCCAATGGTCACTCTGACAGAGCTCCAGAGTTCCTCTGTGGAGATGGGAGAACCTTCCAGAAGAACAACCATCTCTCCAGCACTCCACCAATCAGGCCTTTATGGTAGAGTGGCCAGACGGAAGCCACTCCTCAGTAAAAGGCACATGACAGCCCGTTTTACCAGTTTACCAAAAGGCACCTGAAGGACTCTCAGACCATGAGAAACAAAATTCTCTGGTCTGATGAAACCAAGATTGAACTCTTTGGCCTGAATGCCAAGCGTCACGCCTGGAGGAAACCAGGCACCGCTCATCACCTGGCCAATACCATCCATACGGTGAAGCATGGTGGTGGCAGCATCATGCTGTGGGGATGTTTTTTAGCGGCAGGGACTGGGAGAGTAGTCAGGATCGAGGTAAAGATGAACGGAGCAAAGTACAGAGAGATTCTTGATGAAAACCTGCTCCAGAGCACTTAGGACCTCAGACTGGGGCGAAGGTTCACATTCCAACAGGACAACGACCCTAAGCACACAGCCAAGACAATGCAGGAGTGGCTTCGGGACAAGTCTCTGAATGTCCTTGAGTGGCCCAGCCAGAACCCGGACTTGAACCCGATCAAACATCTCTGGAGAGACCTGAAAATAGCTGTGCAGCGACCCTCCCCATCCAACCTGACAGAGCTTGAGAGGATCTGCAGAGAAGAATGGGAGAAACTCCCCAAATACAGGTGTGCCAAGCTTGTAGTGTCATACCCAAGAAGACTCGAGGCTGTAATCGCCGCCAAAGGTGCTTCAACAAAGTACTGAATAAAGGGTCTGAATACTAAATGTGATATTTCCATATTTTTTTATTTTTTTCTTTGCAAAAAAATCTAAAAACCTGTTTTTGCTTTGTCATTATGGCGTATTGTGATGAGGAAAAGAACAATTGAATCAATTTTAGAATAAGGTTGTAACGTAACAAAATGTGGAAAAAGTTAAAGGGTCTGAATACTTTCTGAATGCACTGTACTGTATACTAGTCAAATCAGGCTGAGCAAGTAATTACATAATTATTTTATTAACACTGCCGTTTGCTTTCTGATTTGAATAGGTTGGATGGACCTTAAACCCATAATATATTTTCTGTGCACTCATTTCTGTTCCCTTTGTCAATGGCTCTGTGGTCCACTGTGAATGGAGGGATGGGCTTCTGGGCTGTAGGAGCAGACCATGCCTCAGTCCTGGTTCGTGGATGAGAGTGGGACTCAGACTGAGAGGCATAAACAGGGCTAGAGCGGAGTTGCCGTGCCTCGGTGACACTGACACCCCCAGGGAAAGTCATGCTGCTCGTGTAGTTACATTTATTATCAGCCAGAGGTGGATTAGGTTTCATTAGAAAATGCTTTGTACTGTAAACATAAACATGAAATACTTTTTTCTAATGGACGAATGGAATGAGAATGTGTTTGCGTGGAAACAGTGTCTAAGGAGCATTATTTCTGTGTGAAATTCATTTGTGGAGAAACTGCCTGGGATTGCTCTCTTTCGGTTAGCTTCAGTTATTGACAACTTGCAGTCAAGTCCAATGACCTTCAAACATCAAGAATTTCCCCAGTCTCTTGGTGTCAGAAACCTAGTATTGTAGTTGTTGGTCTTCTCAGAGAACGACTACAAAGGCAATATTTATCTTACTGTGAGCATGTCAGATAATGAGCTATTTCCTCACCCCCTCTCTGTCCTAAACTGAGCAATAGTATTCCAGGGACAGACTCAAGATGTCTGTTTACATTATGCAATCAAACTGATTGTCACCAATTGGATTCCCGACACTTATAGCTGAAACTCACAGACCACAAGGCCACTTTGATTGCAAGGATATTAAGTAACTAACTACTTCACTCTATTAAATTAAATTTTATTATTCGGATCATGTAACATGGTCTCCTGCTTGTACTCAGAATGCCTCTATTGTTTTGGTTAATTGAGGTTCTATGATCTACAAATGCCTGCATGTGAGTGATTCAGTGGCAGCGAGCAAGAGGAAGTACTCATTAACTCTGATCAGCTTCTGAGGAGAAATGCTATTATGGGATTATAATTGCAGGCGTCATGTTGAGTGTTCGTTGCAATTCGAATCAGGTGGACAGATGATTTCAACAGTTCTTCCGTCTCTCTTCCAAAAGGTGCACAGGGTAATCTCACAACAAGAGGATCAATTATTTCATGCGAGAGGAGATGATGAAAATTTATGAAATGTTTTCAGAGCACAAAGATGCTAAACTTGGAGATTTTAAGATGGGTTGGTCGCACTGCACTATTTCATACCAAAACAGGGTGGAAATCAATGTTCTCAGTATCATGTCCTGGTTTAGTCACGTGGTTAGTATTTCCCGCCATGTCATTGGCTGATTGCCAAAACATGATTCATAGGTCAGTGAGCTGAAATTAAAATGTACAGTGCATCACTCCATTACACCTGGCTCACCTCACATACGGTTAAAATAACTCATGTATGATTGCGGTTTATCGGTTTATTTGATTACGGGTATGTGTGTGTCCCTTCAGCAGCAATTATATGCCTTTGGTGCACATGACAACATGCAATATAGTAGGCCTAATGTTGATAACGAAAGAGATATCAAGTCGCTCTGGATAAGAGAGTCTGCTAAATGACTTAAATGTTAAATATCCACCACCACTTTGTAATCTGAGCTCAGGTCATAGACCAGTGTATAGCAACTCTGCCAGAAAGAAGTGAAAAGTGGTTAACATGTCTCAAGCAATCTGCATAAATAGATTTTATTAACAGCAATTGTGATATGACTAATGTATGCATAAGTGAAATAAATAATTTACACTGAATTCCCTTTGATCTTTCATCACTTTTAACTCCAGATTTGAGTCCCTTAGGGGCAGAATTGTTTTTAAAAAATCATATTACCCAATAGGACTGAATTAAGAATTCAAATTTACTTATACATGATTACGAATGTGAAGCACGGCTCCATCTTTACTGCTGTGCATTCGCAAAGGGGGTTCAATTCCTTTTACACCCCATCTATTTTGTATTAGAGGAGTGTTACTGTATGTTCTTGCCAGTAGCCCTGTTTAAGCAGAGGGATTAACAGTTTAAAGGTTGTATGGTTGAGCACATGTGACTGTGTGGAAGATTCCTATCACCTGATTCCTCTGTTGGGGGGGGGGGGCTGTTTTCATTGGTTTCTTTTATAGGAGAGTACTTCATAATAATAGCTAAATATGACCCGAATGGATGATGACAGCTAGAGTACAGTAAGATTAACATAACAACATCAGACAGGTAGTTACTGTACACTACTGGAGCCAACAAGAGGGAGAATACTGAAGGACAACATCAGGTCCCAGCATGTATAAAATAACCCAACAACAACATTGGTATGCAGAAGAGAGAAACTTAATTTTCCGAAGGAGGAGAACTTGTTCGTTTGGAGTAGGGAGGTTACAACTTGCTCCTTGTCATGGCTCAGCGAGGGACGTTAGCAACAGCACTAAAAATACATCCTGCTTATTACAACCACAACATGACAAACCAACGGCACGTTCAGAAGCTGTACAGGAGGAACCAAAGCTCTGAAGCTAATGTGTCGTTCCTTTGCAGATGAACGCACAGCGCACATGGAAGCTTATAAAAATAACACGACAACGAAAGGCTTTTAGGGACACGAGGGACTGAATATTTCTGAGGCAGTAACGTGGGACTGCGGCGATAGGATAGCATGCTATCCTTGGTGTTATAAACCCCCGTGATGTGGCTCAGCTGTGGGTCTGCTCAGCAGGCCGGTCCACTCTCTTCAGAATGGCTCAAATCAAATCAAATCAAATATTATTGGTCACATACACGTGTTTAGCAGATATTATTGCAGCGAAATGCTTGTGTTTCTAGCTCTGACAGTGCAGTAATATCTAGCAAGTAATATCTAACAATTTCACAACTTATACCCAATACACACAAATGTAAGTAAAGCAATGGAATTAAAAATATATAAATATATGGACGAGCAATGTCAGAGCAGCATAGACTAAGATACAGTAGAATAGTATAGAAAACAGAATATACATATGAGATGAGTAATGCAAGATATGTAAACATTATTAAAGTGACTATTGTTCCATTTATTAAAGTGGCCAGTGATTTCTAATCTATGTATATAGGCAGCATCCTCTAATGTGTTAGTGAAGGCTATTTAACAGTCGGGTGGCCTTGAGATAGAAGCTGTTTTTCAGTCTCTCTGTCCCAGCTTTGATGCACCTGTACTGACCTCGCCTTCT